GAGTGCGCGTACTTATTAGTTTGGCTTTTTAGGCTCGTAAGCAATCAGAGGGCGACAGCCATGGAACCAATCCAAATATCTGAGTGTGCTGTGCACACATACATATGTACATACATATGCATGCCACTTGATACTGTAGCAACAACAACAACCAGTCCATAATAAGGGCATGTTGTTCTTTTTAGGCCATCCCAAACAAATGTTTTCATACCTTGCCTAGGCGGGCTATATAAGCGCGTGGATCTGAACGTGTTTTTCCTTTTACCCATGCTGCACTGCGTTTGTCATTAGACGCGTCGTCCATTTTGGTCACGTATTTAAAAAGGGGGCAAGTACATGCACACATACATATGTATGTATATGGCTTGCCGTCTATACAAGTCAATAGCTGTCCGTCTATTGCATTGAAATGCTATGCAAGCCAGTCTCAATAATTATTATTGCACATCCCCAGAAGTAATTGACTATTGGCAACATCGTTATGCAACACTGGCAATGTTAGTATTGCATACATAACACAAAATCTTTTATCGTATATCGCATATTGCATTACGATGCTTAGCAGTGCATGTATCGATAATTGCAGCACATCTCTAGATGCAATTGGCCATGGAGAAGAACGTTTAGCAACACTGGCAAAGCTGATGTCGTATATATCGTATGTTATTAAAATTCAATGCAATTTCAGTCAATAAGAATATCTGATATTTAAAATAATATTGGAATATCCTATATCGTATCTTGAAATGTATTACATCGTATATCGCTAAATGGAATTAGAAGAAGAATTCAATAAGAATTTTTGCTCTCTGATATACTTTAGATCGTATATTGCAATATCGTGTATCGTAGGTCTCATTAAAATGCTATGCTATATGACTCTCTTTAATTGTAGCTCATCTACAAGCAACCCGCTATTCATTGTTTAATCTTTATGTATTTAACCTCAATATCGTATTTCGTTTATCGTAATAAAATTCCGTGCTATGCAAATGTCAATAAATGTTGCACATCCCTAGCTGATGAATGTTATGCAACACCGACAATGCTGCAATTGTTAGTCGAGCCTTCCTTCGCCCACATCACTTTATCGTATTACAACATTTTGGGGCAACAACAGCAACAGCAACAATAACAACAACAGCAACAGCTGATGATGCTGTTGATGTACAACACTTGGCATTTTCCCATTTTGGCAGCATTATTTACTTAATTATTTTGAAGTGCTTGGCAAACAGATTTACACGAAAAATGTTTCAGGCAGTGACTACCACAACCCGACCCCCCCCCTCTCCTCCTCTCCCTCACCACCAGCATCGTCTGTGCAACCGAAAAGCACTTGAGCTACGCAACTGACAGGGAGTTTCTCGCTATATTGAAGGGAGTTGTGTGGGATAGGGAGAGGTGGGGGGCTTTCGACATGCAGCACAAATGTTATTAATTAAAATGTCATTCATTTATAAAATAAAACAAAAGGCAACAGGACCTTCCGCATAGTGCTATTCGCAGCTGCCGTTGACAGCTTTTGCTGTGCTGCTGCTGCTGCTGCTCCTCCTGCTGCTGTGCTCCTGCTGCTGTTTAAAGCGGAAACTTTGCTGTTTCGGGCCGAGCAGCGACCACACGCAGCTGCTGCAGGAGCTGCCCGCAAAAGCCACAAATATGTATGTCATTTGACACTTGCTACTTGTAAATGGAATCTCTCTCTGGCTCTGAAGCTAAAGCAGAAGCTGAACTGCTGACTGAAGCAGCTGCTTAAACGCCCTTCACTTTTTGGCTGCCAGTTGACGCCACGCCCAGCTTGTTCGGCTGTCAGTTCAGCTCAGGCACACACGCAGCATCTTTTGTTTGACCACAGAATCGACATCGACATCGACATCGACAGTGACATCGATATCCATAGCCAGAGCCATAACCATAACCATAACCATATCCATATCCAGAGCTGACACAGTTTACAACATTGTCTCACGTCAGGTGGCAACGCTGGTCACGCAACGCTGCCCCCTTCAAGCTCTCTCTGCGTGTGTGTGTGTGTTTGGGTGTGTGTGTGTGTGTGTCAAGTGAGCAATTGTCTTGAATTAATTTCTGCTTCATCACACACGCACACACACACATGCACACGCATCGTGTGGCCAGCAACCCTTTACCCCCGGCATTTTCACACCCTTTTTTTGCGCTCCAACTGGTCAGCGCTGAGCAAACACTTTGATCAAGCACATCAGCAGCTTCCAGCTGAGGCTGACGACCAGCAGACGCCGTCAAATTTAATAAAAATCACTGATTTTGATTGATGCGCCTCTTGGTCAGCAGTAAAACTCTCCAGCCCAACCAGCTAGCCCCTACCCCCTGCACGCCCAGCATTGTCCAATTCCCAGTTCCATAGCGTCAGCGTCAGCGTCAGCAAATATTGGCGGAAGGGTTGACATGTGACATTTGGCTGTCGCCCAAGTGTCGCTCCAATTGAAACAAATGAAGCGCACGCAGAGAACAGGAAAGAGCAGTTGCTGCAACTTGTCGACGCCTCGGCGGCGGCATTTACAGCTCTGCTGGAAAACTAGATTCCAGTCGAGGTTCAGTTAAATGCAGACGGCGCTTAGGTCTAGAGCTGCACTCTTATTCGATTCCTTACTAACTCCTTCTCTCTCTCTTTCTCTCTTTCTCTCCTTACAGCTAGGCCACGCCGTTTGTCAAGCGTTGACAATTTGACGCTCTGCACGGAGAATCATCCTTGATAGCACAAAGAACAAAAGCAACAACTCGGCTAGCTCGCAGCGCTTGAGCAAGGATTAAGCGAGCTGGTGTGAGCGAGAGAGTGCGAGAGAGCGCACAATAGTAGACAGAGCCAAGTACTCTGAGATAGACACAAGCTGAGAGCTACAAGCACAAGCATGCAACACATTATGAATCTGGCAACGCTGCTGCTGGTGGCAGCCGGCCTGCTGCTCGTCCAGGCGGACAGCTCGCAACACATGACGAACAATGGAGGAGGCGGACACATGGGCATGGGCGGCATGGGTGGCATGGGCGGCATGGGCTCACACTCCATGGACGTGAGTCCAGCGCCGGGCTACGGCGTGCCGGCCATACCCAAGGATCCGAATTCGCGCTGCGAACAGATCACGATACCCATGTGCCGGGGCATCGGCTACAATATGACGGCGTTTCCCAATGATATGAATCACGAGACCCAGGACGAGGCGGGCCTGGAGGTGCATCAATTCTGGCCGCTGGTGGAGATCAAGTGCTCGCCGGACCTCAAGTTCTTCCTGTGCAGCATGTACACGCCCATCTGCCTGGAGGAGTACCACAAGCCGTTGCCTGTCTGCCGCAGCGTCTGCGAGCGTGCGCGCTCCGGCTGTGCGCCCATCATGCAGCAGTACAGCTTCGAGTGGCCCGAGCGGATGGCCTGCGAGAATCTGCCGCTGCATGGCGATCCCGACAATCTGTGCATGGAGCAGCCATCCTATACGGAGCCGGGCAGCGGCTCGGGCGGCAGCGGTGGTTCGGGCTCGGGCGGCTCGGGCTCCGGTTCGGGTGGCAAGCGCAAGCAGGGCGGCAGCAGCGGCTCGGGCGGATCGTCGACGACGTCCAACAAGTGCAAGGGCAAGAATTCAAAAAACTGCCAAAATCCCCTAGGAGAAAAGGCAAACGGAAAGGAGTGCACATGCTCGTGCCGTTCGCCGCTGATCGTCCTGGGGAAGGAGCAGCTCATGCAGCAGTCGCCCATGATGCACCATCACTGGTACATGAACCTAACTGTGCAAAGGATCGCCGGCGTACCAAACTGCGCCATTCCATGCAAGGGTCCGTTCTTCACCAACGACGAAAAGGACTTCGCCGGCCTGTGGATCGCCCTGTGGTCGGGTCTATGCTTCTGCAGCACCCTCATGACCCTAACCACATTCATCATCGACACCGAAAGGTTTAAGTACCCCGAACGTCCCATTGTCTTCCTCTCCGCCTGCTACTTCATGGTCGCCGTCGGCTATCTCTCGCGCAACTTCCTCCAGAACGAGGAGATCGCCTGCGACGGGCGACTGCTGCGCGAGAGCTCGACGGGACCGCACTCCTGCACCCTGGTCTTTCTGCTCACCTACTTCTTTGGCATGGCCTCGTCCATCTGGTGGGTCATCCTGAGCTTCACCTGGTTCCTGGCCGCTGGCCTGAAGTGGGGCAACGAGGCGATAACGAAGCACTCGCAGTACTTCCATCTGGCGGCCTGGCTCATACCCACGGTCCAGTCTGTGGCCGTGCTCCTGCTCTCGGCCGTCGATGGGGATCCCATTCTGGGCATTTGCTACGTGGGCAACCTGAATCCGGACCATCTGAAGACATTCGTACTGGCACCGCTGTTCGTGTATCTCGTCATTGGCACCACCTTCCTCATGGCTGGCTTCGTGTCGCTCTTCCGGATTCGCTCGGTGATCAAGCAGCAGGGCGGCGTTGGCGCTGGCGTCAAGGCTGATAAGCTGGAGAAGCTAATGATCCGCATCGGCATCTTCTCGGTGCTGTACACCGTGCCGGCGACGATTGTCATCGGCTGCTACCTGTACGAGGCGGCCTACTTCGAGGACTGGATCAAGGCTCTGGCCTGCCCCTGCGCCCAGGTTAAGGGGCCCGGCAAGAAGCCCCTCTACTCTGTGCTCATGCTCAAGTATTTCATGGCTCTGGCGGTGGGCATCACCTCGGGCGTGTGGATCTGGTCGGGCAAGACACTTGAGAGCTGGCGTCGCTTCTGGCGTCGCCTGTTCGGGGCACCGGATCGCACTGGCGCCAACCAGGCACTGATCAAGCAACGGCCACCCATTCCCCATCCGTATGCGGGCTCCGGCATGGGCATGCCCGTTGGCTCGGCGGCCGGCTCGCTGCTGGCCACGCCCTATACACAGGCCGGCGGCGCCTCGGTGGCCTCCACCAGCCACCATCACTTGCACCACCACGTTCTCAAGCAGCCAGCGGCCAGCCATGTATGACATGGAGAGTCGGGAGGAGCTTCAACCATGGGTGGCGGCAGCGTGCTGGGAGGTCACGGCACACTGATGAGCACGGCGGGCATGAGCAATAGTACGGTTGGCGGCGGCGGTATGTCTGGCATGGGAGCTCCTCCTGGCAGCTTGTTACAAGGCGGTGGCGCCAATGGCGGCGCCCCTGGCACTGTCTACGGCAATGTCAATGGTGGCGGTGGTGTGGGTGGTGTTGGTGGTGTTGGCGGTGTTATGGGCGGCGGTCAGAGTACAGCGCCCGGCTCGGTCATCGATTCACGAGCCGTCTCTGTGGTGGTCACACTGCCCGGCGGACCCGGCTCTCAGCATCCGGGGCAGGCATTGAGCGACTACGGTCCCATATAGTTAATGGTACGCCCGGACACCGCGCACTGGGTCTCAACGAGCAGCTTTAGTCAGCTGTAAGAGTGCAGTTAATTCCCTCTCTCCAAACAACAAATCTCTCTCTTCACTCTTTTCACTCTATCTCTCTGTCTCTGTCTCTGTCTCTCACACCTGTCACTTTCTCGGAGGTTTATTAAGCGATTGCCATATTAATTTTTTGTAGCTGTAGTTTGTTTAGAGAAAGGCGCAAAACAGATTTTAAGCGATTTGCCCAAGATTCTAGTCCGTAAACCTTATAAACACACATACGAGTATATCAGCAGGCGACAAGGGCAAGCAAAGAGAGGCAGCGAGCACAGAGAGAGAGTGGTGAACGCTCTCTAGCTAATAGTAGTTGAGCGAGATGGGAACGAGCGAGCGAACCAGGCGCGCATTTTGTTGTTCTGAAGCGGCTTTACCTTTTGGTTCTTTCCATTCAATTCTTCAACAAAATAGACTGAGAAATCGATAAACGAAATTGCATTAAACAAACAGAAATCAAGAGAAGGAAACAAAACAAATACAAAGAGAGCAAAAGCGTTTGCCAACACTGCCAAGTCAGAGCCACGAGCCATATTTCGAAATTACAAGTAACTTTTAATCAAACTACCTAAACTATTAACCTTAACCTAATACATAGAGTCACATTTAATACATATATATATTACGAAGAGACACACACAGACACACACACACACACATACACATTTCGAATTCGCTAAGTGCGTTATGTTTTAGGGTTGTCGCTGCATCCATTGCACATTGCAGAGAGTGAGCGAGCGAGCGAGCGCACAGTGTTGCAAAACCATTTGTAAATTATTTAAAAACCTAACTTAAGAGCCAGCATTATCCAGCACTAATTTCTTGTAAATATTTTTCAAATTGCGCTTAGTTTGTAAACGACTTTTTTTGTAACTTATCCTAAATACTAAAAGCTAAAAACTAAATAATAGTAATTTGCATTTTAGCGCTGCATTTAAGCTCAACAAAACAAAACAGAAAAGAAAAGTGAAAAACTGAATTTAATTTTTACACAGAAAATTTAATAGAAACAAATAAAATAAACTGCATTTAAAGAGCAAAGGAAAATTGTATAAAGTAAAACATTGAGATAAGAGTATTAAATAAATGTAATTTTCGTTTGTAAACGAAATCCAAAAACAAAACAAAAATATTTTTCATGCATTAAAAATCTATTGTATTTTTATTTAATATATTTAATATAAATATACGAACAACAATTACAACTGTTGTTGTTGGCATTTCGAAACCAATTTCACATACGAAACAAAACGTAAAAATTATCTATAATTAAATATATATATTATATTATAATATAGCAACTCTATGTGTAATGTTATAGCAACTATAACTATTTCTATAAAATCATCAATAATTAAAAAATACAAAAAAAAACAAGAAAAAATAAAAATAAAAAACACTGTAATAAAAATTACTTTAAAAAAATTATACTTTTGAGTTTTTATTTTTTTGGAATTTTATTTTCATTTTTCTGTAAGTAGATTTTTTATTTTCTGTTTCAGCTTGCATTTTTTTTTTTCAAATTGAACTTTTGTTGATATTTAGCGTTCATAAGAAAAACCCTCTACACTTATACGTATCATAAAAACAAAGCTCTCCAAGTTAAGCGAACCAAAAAAAAAAAAAAAAAAAAAAAAAAAAAAAAAAAAAAACAAATAAGAAAACAAGTAAATATTAATTAGCAAAAATTTCTCTAAATGACGTACAATGTTTAATATACTTACACATATACATATATTGAAAACAAAACAATAACAAAACAAACAAAAAATACGCGTACTATTCGATGTTGTTAATAAGCTTAATAAACCAAAAAATTTAATATATAAATATATTATATATTACAAAATATTAATAGTAGATTTTAGTTTGGAATGTGGAAAATATTTGAGAGGAAATCTTAGAATTTCGGCATTTGAAAAATTTAGTTTTGAGCGTAAATAGTTAACGCTTTTATCATAATAAATTATACTATATATATACACACAAATATATATATATATATATTAAAGGCTAAACAAGTGTAACGAATATACGTAAATGAAATGTAAAAAAAAAGGAAAAATTTAAAGAAAATGAATACGAATACGAAAACAGATTAAAATTAAAATTAATCCATTTTTACGTTGATTTTTTGTGATTGAAAATTCATTTTCTAAATTGATGAACAAAAATTGATTGCAATTTGCGCATGTATACGATTTTTTAATTTTAACAAGAAATTTAAAATTTAAAATAAACAAAACGAGCAAAAAACCATAATATTACATAAATGGATTTGGGTTCAGATCGATAGATGATATAGCGAGCGTGATTGAGGGGATTAGTTACACACAGAAACCAGTAACCAGAAACCAGTAACTTGACGTCAAGTGTAGTTGTGAATTGTATTTTGTGAAATGTAATTTAAAAATAAAGAAAAAGAAAAGAAAATCATAAATAAAAAAAAAAAAAGATAAATTATATATACAATGCATATTTATATATAGTATATTAAAATGAAAACGCAATGAAAGGCATTTAATACTTTAAACAATGCAAATAATGCAGATATTATTTTATTTACAAGCAACAAAATAATAAAACATTTTTAAATCAAAATGCTGTTTGAAAGTCATAAAACAAAAAATACGATTTTGATGCACGTCTAAAAAATCTCACTAAAAAAAAACACTCAAAACAGAGAAGAGAAAAAAGAAATACCAAACAATAGACGCAAAATAATATTAAAAACATTTGTAATTGACAAAAAAAAAAGGAAAACATTTAAAATAAAATCTAACATAAAACAAATAAGAAATTTATATTCCGGGTGCCTAGCTTGGTGATATCCTCCGTCTTTACAAATGCGCAAACAAATTAAAACTTAATAAAAGAAACACTTAGCATCAGCGAGATTAGTATTGCGCGGGCGATTTCAACTGTCTGCGTATCACAGGCTTTTACTCGATAACAAAAAAAGGAATAGTTATCGATTTTGAGAAACAAGCTCGATCTGCACGCTCAAAACACGGATCTGCTCTCTAGCTCCTATTGCCTCTCTGGAAACGGTATGGTATGAAACGAATTGAAATAGAATAGAAATTTAGACAGACTATGCAGAAGTGTTAGTCCTTAAGAGAACTATAAAGAGAAGAAACTGCTGTCTACGCCACCTAATAATTATAAATATGAATGTACGTAAGTTATTCAGCATATCAACAATTAGCTTTATCAAGCATAAATACTCTTGAGCAGCTTAATGAGTGTAGCCTGTCTCCCTGTCTAGCTCACAGTCTGTACTCTCCGTTTACCTCTCTGTCTGACTGCCAAACAAAAGCAAAAGCTCAGAAGAGCTATAAATCATTTAAGTTGTCTATGTGTATGCAGCAGTATTCATGTGGTATTTATATTTGAGTAAAACGAAGCTCGAAGCTCTCTGCAACAGCAGAGAGTGTTCCTTTCCCATTGGTCACTTAACGTTCGGCTGTAGCGAGCCCCACAACATTTGAGCGCGACCTAGGCTCTGAGTAAAAGTCGCCCTATATAAAGGGCAACAGCTGCAGCATTTCTTCAGTCGCCTAGGCCTTGTGGGGGTCAGTCGTACAGTGCAGGAAAGTGAAGTTAAGTGTCTGCAAATATTTAATGATCGCTCAGCTAAGCGTTAAAGATTTGGAGGAGTTCAAGAGAAGGAAGAAGAAGAAATACTTAGACGAAATATTTGTAGAAAATTCTTAGAGGAAATAAAAAGAAATAGAAGAAATTCTTGGAGGAAATACATTTTTTATAGACGGACAGGCGGACGGCTAAATCGAGTCTGCCATGCCTCCTTCTGCCTCCGTACCAAACCATTGTACCCTGATTTCTCATTTTCAATGGGTTCGGGGTGTAAAAAAAAAGTTAGATTTTCTCTCTGGTTTGAGGCTTCAATTGTCGCCTAATGTCCGCTGCTCAATGGACTATTAAAGGTGCTAATGGCCAGTGGGCCAGTTGGCCATTGGCTATTTGGCCAGCTTGGCTCATTTATAAGCAATGCTGAATTACATTTATTTACTGACGGAACAAACATTAGAAATACGAATTGAATGTTTTGCTGTTCGTTTTTTATGGGTACAATGCTTATCAAACGGTGTGGAACCGTTTATTTCGATTAGTTTAGTCGATAGATGTTTATTATATTGATTTTATATAAATATTATAAAGGTAGCATTGGATACGCTCTTCCTAACATTCAAATAAAGCTGGCAAAAAAAATATATATTAAGCGATTGCATGCTGCTACTTAAAAATCCCAAATTTTTAGATATCTTATAGTTCATATAAATTTATTATCGATTTTTCCAAGACCTTTTCATATCCTTTTTAAAATCTATATATCATTGTAATATCTCTGTACAGCACGTCAGCTTTTATCCACCATCAACGTGGCTGTTCAAAGTCGCAAAACTATAGAAGATATGATATATATGGTATATTATCTAATCACATCCCAGTCTTTGTCATACTCAAGCAAAAGGCCTTTTTAAAATTAAAAACAAAAATCAATTGAATTCAACATTTAGCTATATTTATTTGTAGATATTTTACAAGCGTTTCATTGTAATCATAAATAGATTAATATTATATGAATTTCTATATATACTATATAGTATACAATTGCACAATCAAGTGACTCTTACTTTGTACGTAAACTCGTTTTTTTTTTTTTTTTTTTTTAATGTATTGTTCACATGGAAGATCCTGTTGCATTTCTAATCAAAGTCCCATGTTCTAGTATTGGTTCTATGGTTGTTCTGTATTATATCACATACAGATGCTTGGTAGGCTGTGCTTTAATATCTTGCGTATTGTTTAATCAGAAAGTTTATTTTGAACTTAAAGTAATTTGCCAGCTGCACGTCTAGTCAAAGTTGGAGTTATATAAAATGAAGCTGACAATTGGACAATTGGAATTTCTGTTGGTACGTACTTTTGGGCTCTATGTTGAGCACTTAGCTTTGGCGCAAATATATAAAGGTAAAATCGAATTACAACAAGCTAACAACAATTTGAATTAAGCTAAAGACAAACAAACAAACACCTGCAAATTCTATGGCGAATCAAACTATTTCATAATACTCGATAGGCTCGTGTAGCCACTGTTGCCTTGGGTCGTCTCCTGGCGTCGACTGCAGCACGTGCAGCAGCACAGGTTTCGCACCACATCCACGAAGCTCGTCTGCTCGAAGTCATCCAGATCGTTCATAAAGACACCAGAGCTGATATCCTCTGCGGTGCGTGTGCCCACAAATGCCTTGAGATCGGAGACGGGAAACCCATCCTTATAGTACGTCTTAATCGTATCATAAGCGTCCATAATGACAGCGATGAACAGTGATAGCACAACGTAGATGTACAGCGAGATAAAGGAGTACAGGTAAATCTGACAGAACCACCATAGCCAGGTGGCCTTGTTGGAGAGCGTCGCGAACGTTGCGAACATATCGTCGCCATTGATCAGCGCAAAAAGGCACTCAGAGGTTGTGGCCAGCGATCGGAACTTCATATGATATGGACCCAGTATAAGCCAACCGCAGAACACGAAGCCCGCATATATCAGCAGTGCGGCGATTAGGAAGCGTAGAATTTTCGGTGCAGCTTTCTTCAGAGTGAGTATTACAACATTGTAGGTCTTGAAGAAGCCCAAATAGCGTAGCACACCGAACCACACCAGCATATTGCCAATACCCAGAAACAGTGAGCAGGTATCCCACTGGTCGACAACCATGTAACGGCCTTCGATTTGTTCTTTTAGCGCCGAGCCAATCATTAGCAAGACATCGTTAAAGATGATCATAATATACCTAAAAGACACAGATAGTTAGTAATAATGTACCATAATATATATAGCATTTATGTCACCAACCAAAAGTTGACAAACTCCAGTCCTCCATCAAAGCTCAGTTCCTTGCCGAAATGAGAGCGGAAGAAGTTTTTGGTGGTGCACTTCAGCAGGTAAGCTCTCCAGAGAGCGCGAGTGCACAGCGCAAATGAGAGGGCGCAGGTCAAGAGCACAAAGATATTGAGACTGCTTCTCAGTATGGCATCGAATCGTGCCTCCGAAATGAAGTCTGTGTCGCCCTTGCACTTCAGGCGCGTAGCTTCAGCATCGAGCGACAGCAGCATTTGGCCATCGTGGTCCCGATTATTGAACAATATAGCTATGTCGAACCTAAAGCAATCGGGCGCGGACAAGGCCCCCGAGTTGGCCTTAAAATTCACGGTTTTAATATGGAACGATAGCTCCGCTGTAACCAGCGATGCGAAGTTCACCTCCACACCTTGGCTTAATAAATATTTCTCGACTCCAATGCTGGATACATTTGGCGGCAGTTTCTCGCACAGCTCATAGATATGTGGATCAAAGATATATGACTCATTGAAGCCAAATATTGTGCCCTCTTGATAGTTCTGCATGCAGAGCGTCAGCGGTGGCATCGTATTATTAGCGGTGGGATAGAAATAGGGTCCAATGGAACGGCTGACATTGCCATAGCCGTCCAAGGCAAACTGGACCGTGTTAAAGAACTCTGATTTCTCATATAATGCAAATGGTCCCACGGCAGGTGGATAGCTCTCAACTTCACGTGACGAGTCCCAGCCCTTCAGAAACAGGTGCGAGAAGGCAATGCGATTATCCCACGTGTAATTGATGTGATTGTAGCGAGAATGGGCAAACAGGCATAGCTGCATCGTCACCAAAATTATCTTCACGATCTGAAAGCAGCAAACAAATAAATTAAATTCGAATTCATTTAAGCAACCAGAAACCGCTAATTGAGCAACAACAGCTCAAGCATATATGTATATAGTATATTGTTATAAATATATTGAGCGAACAACAAAAAAGATGAGAATTGTCTAAAATGCTAAAGCAAACATAAACTTTATATATCTGTATACCTGAAAGATCTTTTTTTTATCCTATTTAGTACACTTGAAAATTCTATTGTTATATAAACATAACAACTACGAGCGCACTTACATAAATATGTTTATTTGTTTGCAAAGTAATTAAACAATTGATTAGATTGTTGACGTAAACGAAAAATTTGTGCTAATTATTCGTGGAATCATCTCTGTGGGGAAAAGTGTTTGAATATGAACAGAGTATATACATATAGTATATGAACAAAGTATATGTCTATAGTGATAAAGGCGAACTAAAAATACTCTCTATCTAGCCATACATACATATTCATATTCATATCTAATTAAAATCATTTCTTTTTTATTTTCTATATAGGAATGGCAACGACGCAGACTATTAATCATGGCCTTAGAAAAAAGTCCCTAGTCAAAGCAATTATTTATCATGTGGCTAAGTAAATGCTTTAAAGTAAGTGCCTTAAAGTAAGTGTATTACGTGTTTCTTTATTGTTAGAATCAGAGATAAGGCCAGGTAGGGTTGATGTAAGTGTATGGGTGTGTAATCTTAGGCTATTGTTTAAACAAAATAGATAGTTGTAGGTAGCTGCTCAATTTTAAGTGCCTTACAAACGGAATATATGTTGAGCAATATTTTTGGCGCTGGCGGAACGATTTCATTGTTTAAAAGATGTGTCAGCCACAGACAATTCGGACCCCTTTGCACGGCCATCACGTGAGCAAAGTTCGACCAGATGAGTGGAGCAGGGAGGCAGGTTAGTGAGTATGCATGTCTGAGCGTTTTTGTTCTTTACCTGCACCACAAATTTGTACGGAAACTTTCGGCGCGCTTGCCATTTCTCGATGGGATTCATAAAGAAGAACTGCAGCTTGCGTCGCATGCGCTCCTCGTTGTACGAGGCTGCTGAGGATGTGGCCGTTGGAAACTGCGGCTGCTCGACATGACCCTGGGCTGATGCTGGCGCTGCTGAGACACTGGCTGGAACTACGTTTGGCGCCACTGTCACCACAGGCGTTGACTGCTGTTCCATGCGTCGCCGCAAGATCCTGGTGTTCACATAGTCATCATCGCTTTCGCAGCGCGAGTTTTCGCCACTGCTGGGCGTATGTGGATGGTGTTGTGCAGCTTCGTAGCTGTCCGTACGGCGCTTGACGGCTGGAGCGACAGCAGCAGCAGCTCCAGCGCCGTAGTTTTGCATTTCAATATATTGCACTGGCTGCGTGTCGAGGTCGCAGGGTGTTGCGTAGTTGCCTCAGTGTAGAGATTTCCTTTTGCTTTAGTTTCTCCAACATGCAAAAGAAATTCCACACACACGCAACAGGCAAACGAAACTTGGGTATATAGAGATGATTAAATGCGCGACTGCGACGTTATTTAAGCGAATTGATAATAAATACTGCCAAAAATTATAATGTACGTAAATTGCTTTGTTTTCGCCAATGTTGTTATCGTCTCGATAGGCCGATAACTTATATTCGGATTTGCGATACCTTCGTGACAACAAATTAAAACAATACTCACGGCATCAAACACTTGCATTTGACCTTAAGTGCATTAAGGGTATTCTTATTAGTGATTTCATGTTAACAATGATATAGAATTCAAAAAATAAATAAATAAAACGCATTTAAGCACATTTTAGTTTACTCCTTTCTTGAAATTGGTTCTTTTATTGTTTATTTATTTATTTATTTACTCTCATCGATAGGTCGTGAGCACGACGACAAACTAAGTTGCAGCACTAACCATGAATTGCGCGCGCGCGTTTAAAATTTGTATAAGAATGAAGCGATTTTGAAAATCAGTAGCCAAAGCCGATTTTTTTTTTACCATTTTGGTTTCTTATGAACCCGTCGTGAACGCCGCGTCAACTGTGGCCGATTCTGAAGACGGTTACTTACCGTTACTTTTCACTGAAAACTTTTATCATTAATAATGTAACATATTATTGAATATATGTTTAATGATAAAACATTGTTTTAAAATAAAAATAAACAAATCAGGCTTGAATCATAAACATGATTTTTATAAAGTTTCAATGACATGCTTTATTTTTCTTAAAATAAAAATAAATAACCTTACTTTAAAATAAATATTACAGCTAAACAAATAAATAAATCGAATTCATTTAAATTGTACACTTAAGCACATGACCCTTTGCTCTTTATCGACACCTCTGCAATTTATAAAAAATAAAATATGTAATAATTAATTTATTAACGTATAAATATAGAAACACTCACTGATATTTAGACATGTCGAATAACACTCCAATTGAGTTTCTCCCGTATACATATATCCGTCAGAGCCACAAACTATTTCATCATTTTCATCATAGACTTTCGCACAAATTTTCTCACAATGAGCATCATTGTCCTGTTGGCTCTCGGCTGGTGGTTCGGGTGAAAACGCTGTTGGCGCTGGCTTATAGCCAGGGTCCTGTTGGCATAGGAAATTAAAAGAATTTTAAATTTCAATAAAGTCGTTGATATGGAAGAGAATATATATGTATACACATGTGTATATTAATGTAATTAATGTTTAATACATAATCATTCTTGCGATCGCTCCAAAAAAGTTTGAATTATTGAAATAACTTAATTCAAAGTTATTTGGATTGTTTTCTAGTTTCTAGTAAGACGGTGAAAGTATTAGAAAATTTAACTATTCGAAAATGTTGAAATTCGGAAACAAATTAAGGCTGATTTAAATCTTTATGATCGCTACCACAGTACTTTGATTGATATCAAACATCCGAAGCGGGAAGAAAGTTGTGCGCCGAGACATTTAATGGAGTGCTTGGCATTTGTTAATGATGGAAAGTAGCCATGTTCTTCACAGTCATTAAGATTGTGATCAAATGTTCAGCTGATACAGCCGTAGCCGAACTGTTATTATTATTTCTTTTTCTATTTCTGAGTTATCTAGTTTAAAGAGAAAATACTGAAGAGAGATAAAAATAGTCTCACCTGGTTGACATATTCGGCGCTCTCCTTGGGCTCCTCCTTCACGGGTGGCAAGCTCTCGGGTATGGGCGCCACGCTCACAGCGGGCGTTTGTGGTGGTGGTGCAACTGTGTGGGTCTCGTAGTAATATTTTTGTCCATGTGGCGCATTCGTATAACTAGCCGATCCTCTGATCGCATCATGCTCCGTAAACTCAAATCTCACTGGCTCGGGAGTCACTGTCTTCTGTGAACCATGCCTGACGTGACTGTAGGTCGACGCTGGCGGCACTTGAGTGGTGCGCGGTGTCAACGAAGTGGACAAGATATGCTTCACGGACTTATTGCCGTCCGACTTGACAACAAAGGCATTTTGTCCTGCTTGATAGCTGCCGCGCACCACAGTCGAACTATGTGGTGCAGGATCCTGCTGATAGAAGAGATCTGCGACTCGCAAAGGCTTGTTATAGCTGGATGAAACGCTGCTATCCAGCAGCTGTTGCTGATGTTGTTGCTGTTGTTGTTGCTGCTGTTGTTGCTGTTGCTGCTGTTGTTGCTGCTGTTGCTGTTGAACCAGTCTCTGTTGCTGGTAGTTGATTTGATCACGCTCCAAGTCCAACTGCTTGTAGTTGGGCTCGCGTCTGGGCAGGAAATAATCATTGGTACTCATGAAATGCAAATAGCTTTCCGCTTCCTTGGACAGCTGCGAAGTCTGCTGATAGTTGTTGGCGAATGGAGCGACATTCTTCACATTGTCTGTGTCTTCATAGACGGCATAGCCGTTGGCAGCTTGTGCCAATTGCTGAGGCTGCTTGGTCGGTGTCTCGGCATAGTTGGCTACGTATTTGGTGGCCTCCATTGGTATGGCGTATTGTTTGATTGGTGCATATCCTGGAAACTTCTGAGGCTGCTCCTTGTTCGCATTGTAGTGGGGCGGCGAGGCCTTGAAATTCGGCGTATACTGATTGACATTGTAGTTGAATTGTGGCGCCTCCTTGGGCCGATAAAACTGATTCTTGCCCACATCCAGCACAGGCGCCGCATCCTTGGAGTGGGCAAAGCGGTTGCCGCCATTACCAGCATATGGCCAATTGCCATTGAACTCACGCCGCAGCAGCTGCTGTCCAGCGAGCACTGGCGGTGGCATCGGTGGTCGCCAGGGAGTGGGTGGCCTCAAGTTTTCTCCATTTGGTCGCAGGCGTGGCCCTTGCCCGGGGCCAACACCAACACGGCGATTGGCATGGAAATTAGGTGGGGGCTCCCTCAGGAACTGCATTATGCGCGCAGTGCGAGGCGATGCAGTAGACGCTGCACTTTCCACTTCCCGCTGCAGGCAGACTGCAGCCAGCAGCAGCAGCACACTTAACACATGCATAAGGCCTGGCATTATGTTGCTTCTGCTATTCCTACTCTTCCACATATTTGAGTCTGATCTGTACGAAAACTCGCGTATCGCGTCGCGTTGTGTCTGACTTCTGCGACTGTCGATCAGCATTTAATTCTGCCGTTGGCCGCGCAGCTCTTCGGTTCTTCAACTTTTACTTTACTTTTACTCGAAATAAACAAATTCCAATTTTCTTAAAATTTAACCAACAACAACAACAACAACGACGACGACGCACAGCCAAACGCAGACAGAGCTTTGTTGTTGAGCTTCTTTTGTTTCGAACTGGTTGTTTGTTGGATTGATCTCTCCTATTGCGGTATCTGTTGGCAACTGAAGCGCGATCCGCGAAGTGAGGAGCTCAGCACGCTCCGTTGTCTCTGGGTCAAATGCTGCAGATTGGCTTTTCTGCCTCTTCTCCTATTTTTCAGCAGAACACAAAGCGAAGCTTCATCGCGCGTATGCAAGGAAACCGGATTGTTTAGTTTAGTTTTAGTTTAGCTGCGACAGCACCCGAAATAGCATCAATGCATTCAAAAAGCACTGCGTGAGCAGCCTCTTCTAATATATTCGTTTCTCTTTTTTCTTTCTTTATGCCAGCGCAGCTATGGACTGCAAAACTTCTGAGGCTCAAACTTAATGCGGCTAAAGCTGGTATTATATTTTCGAATTCCATTGAACCAGGGCTGCCAAATGCAGGAAACTAATTCAGTTTCGTTCAGCTAACAATTTGATTTAGTATGTCACTTTATTTTATTTTTACTCCAAATTCGAACTTTATTTAAATTTACCCATAATCAACTATTCATAGGTAAATATCATTTTAAATTAAGGAATTCATTTGATAAATTGTTAAAAAATTTTATTCATTTGAATATTCGTATGAATAATGTAAGGTATTCAATGGTCTTTATCATATAATTACCCATCTTCATATCTGGTTTTAGCTCATCTCTCTGCGAGGCATCTTACATCTGTTTAATGACAAACCAGTTTCAAGGTTTCTCTCACGCGCTGCGTAAACAAGAGCGTTACAATACAATATTGTTCCATATATAATTGGATAATTGTTCTAATCAACTCCGTTGATTCGCTGGGTATTGTGTATTATTACGTTAAAGTTTTCTCTTTAAGCGAATTGAGTAGCAATTTTTTTTTCTTTCTTTTTTTTTTCTTTATTTTTATTATTTTCTAAAGCTTGAAAAATAAAGATTTTAATGCCCATGCAGCCCAATTATAAAACTCATGGTTAAAACTTTCACTACGGTATTTCGGTTTTGTTTTTTTCTTCTGAACGATATTGTTATGCAAATCAAGCACAGTTAAACATAGATTCATTCAAGAAATACTACTGTTATTCTCCAATATACATATGCATTGATGCGATAATTAAGCTGTGACTTTCTGGCATAAAATATGTTTCATGTTTACCTTTTGTTTCATTAAGTAAAAATTCCAAAGTCTAGTTTAAATAAATTTATTGATATGTTTAAGATGTTGGACTACATAGATAATTCAATATCATATAATATATATAGAATGAATACCAGCCTTATGGCTCCTCCTTTTTTATGTCAGTTTCTTCAGGTATATTATGATTTGCTTCTCTTCTATTTCCAAGCACTATGACTATTTTTGTAGTGCTCAGCAGCGAGCAGTCGGATACGCGATTCTACGAAAAATATATATTCTAATGAGATAAGGAGAAATATTAAAAAAAACTTACAGAATGTACTCGATTATAGCGCACATTGCTGCTGCTCAGATTATTATTGTTAGTGCTGCCATTTCGCCGAAAACTCGTTTCATCTCGCATAAAGCTCGATTGATCTCGAGCAAAGCCGCTGTTATAGAAAGCTCCAGCTTTCTTGCCGCATAGAATTTCCTTGAAAGCAATTCGATAGCGCTTGGACATCACATTATACACAATTGGATTGATGGTGCTAATATGAATAAGAAGCAAGAGTTGAACTAGTAGCAGACCCATTGCGTATGTGAGCTTACCATGACACGTAGTAGGCAAAGCCCGCGATGGAGAAGAGCCATTCGTTGACATTTTGAAAGCAGGCAAAGTTCTTGGCGTATAAGAACCATAATCGTTGCAGATGAAAGGGAAACCAACAGACAAAGAATGTGATAACAACGGCGGCTAATAAAAGAAAAGAGCTGTAGCTAATTATATATAATTAAATGGATATATATATATAAAGCTTACCCAACATTCGTATAACAGCTCGCTTTTTCTTCTGCGAGCTGCGAGACTCTCGATTCCGTGAGCCCTGCTGAACTCCTGCAGGCGAAATTTTAATTCAACAGACTAATTCTAATTTATTTCATTTCTAACATACCCAATTGGTCAGCGGCTCTGGAGCGTATTTGAGCGCCCATGCGACCATACAACACGAAAATGAGTATCATGGGTATAATGAAAAATATTATAAAAGAACCCTCAAACAAAGGATATTTATCAGGAAACTCTGATTCCATGGAGCAAAATGCAGATTCCAGTATTCGAGATCCATCTGTTAGAGTAAGTCGAATTTATTAAAAATTTACAATAAATATATGTATATAGAACTTGCGTCATACCGATTGGATAATTCAAGTATTGAATTTCAGTCTTAACACCGAATGGTATTGCAGTGAGGAAGCTAACAATCCAAAGCACTGTAATGATTCGCAGTGCTCGCTGAAAGCCGGACATGGCACACACATGCAGCGGATAGCATATGGCCAGAAATCGTTCCATGGAGAAGGCAACAATTGTGAATACCGAAACGTAGGTGCAGCTGTTATACAACTGTTGCAATTAAATAATTAACTAGATTTTAAGTGTCAATACTTACGCTTCCGAAACAAATGCGCGCAGCTTGCAGAACTGTAAGCCGAATAGAAACGGATATTGATGCCAGTAGAGAAATACTTCCGTTGGCAATCCTAAACATTTGTATAGCTATTTAATTTATATAACTAAAATATAAGAGACTAACCCACCTAAGAGTAAGTAAAGTAAATCGGAGACTGCCAAACTGAATAGATAATAATTTGTTGCCGTATGCATAGCCGCATGCCTAATAATAACCATGCAGACCAAGACGTTGCCCAAGACGCCGGTTATGAATATGCCACTAAATATTATGCTGATCTAGAAAATATGTTCTAAATTAATGTATAATTTCTTCTAAATTGTCTAAATTGCATTTCATCTTACCAGCAGCGCCTTATGTAGTGGCAGAGTCTGTGGACCGAGTATAAATTGTGTGAACTCCATTGGAGTGCAATTCAGGTTGGGGCAGCCGTAATCATCTATGTCAGGCAATGCGGCTGCAGTAGCATCCATAGTGCCCAACTGGGTACTCAAATTCACATTCAAACTCGAATTCATATTCATATTCGTAATGAAAATCAGTTAAAGGTATACCGAACCATTTTCGTAAAGTTCTTTAAAATAAAATAAATCAAATGCTTGAAACAAAGTCAAAAAGAGACTGTGTAAGTTAAAAGTATATCCATAAAATGACACAGCTTTTAAGACTCAGAGCAAATTCAGCTCCTGCATAATACATATTCACCTACAGATTTTCACTAAATATTTTCAGAAATATTTATATTTGGAGCTTAACACTTTTAATTGTCATTTATTTTCATTTTAACTGCATTAATTGATAATTAAAATTTCTAGACAATTTGCCGTCGAATTTGGGGGCTACTCGCACGTAATATCGCAATTTCTAACTGAATCTCTTAGATGACCGCAGATTACTGTTCACACAAAATCATATTCAGATAAGAATGAACGTTTTGCAAATATGTACTTTTCTTCTTACTATGCGCCAAGGCAGGTAATTAATCTTTCAAAAGTAAACTACGTACCTGCCTACACATTTAAGCACATGGGGCGGAGTAAAGAGAAAGGCGCCTTAATATTAATATTGCAAATTGAGCTAAGAAAATAATTGTTATCTTTTAATACATTTATCTCTGTTTGTATTTGCGTATGATCTTTAACTTACATTCAAAAATACGTTACATATAAGAGCTTTAAAAGTATTCATTGATCCATTGGCGCTTAAAATACGCAAGCACTGAATTGTTTACTCTTCATGTTAAGCTGGCAAATATATATGTAGAAAAGTAAACAATATAATTGATTAGATAAAAATCCATCTTAGCCAAATAGTAGCAAAGAGATAAATTTAATAGCAGCGCTTTTAATAATCGCTTCTTAAGTGTACGGCAATGCAGGTAAAAATCTCTGATTTCAATAAAAATGATAACGAATTTTTATTTTTTATTTTCTGTTCAATTTTAATGTTTAAGTTTAATTAAGAGAGATTCATCAGCTAACTGTTAAATGCTAAAATATTATAAAATGATTATGAACCCATTGTTATAAATATAATATTATGACAAAATAAGTGTATAAATATTTATAGTTATTTAAATTTTGGATTGTTGATTATTATTTATAAAAATAAAATACAAATTGAAACGGGTTTCTTTACCGATAGCTTCTTTATACTCAAAATGGCAATTTATTTGCGAAGTAACTCCTCTTAATTAATATCGCAATATACAAATATCGATAAGCAACCCATTCATCATATCAGTTACACCGTCATATTTTATTTAACAAATATCAGTATCGCGCAGTATCGCTCACCACTAACTAGTGCTCCTCTTGTGTAACAAATAGAACAAAAAGTAGTCTGTAAAGTCTTGCAGAAACAAAATAATATAAAAGCCATGCAAATATGCAAGTGTGAATAGTGAGTTGAAGTCAAGCGATCACAAGCAATGCAGCTAAAATATTAGCTAATTACAATGGAAAAACACTTTGACAAAGAGAATTAAAAATTATCGATAATTGAGATTTGTTGGTGCGGGGACGGCTACATATGTGGCGGTATATTTTGTAAATTTGTTGTGAAATTTAATGAATGTGCTACGATTTTAATAAATTTCGCTCAACTATTTGATACATATCGGGCAGTGTTACCAAGCGTAATTAATTTTGACCATGGCGCAGACGTATAATCCATAATTTCTATGCAACTGGCTTGGTGGTTTTCCACGTCTATGACATCATAATCAGTGCGAATCAAGTATTTTTTATGTTGTGACAAGTCACAGGATAAATAAGTAAAATTATTAGTGTAAAACGATATTTGTTATTGTAACGACTCAATTTGACATATGTGTGTATATATGTATGCTTGTACGCACGTACTCATGCACTTAAATATTTATTTGCATGTGTAGGTGAGTACATCAATAAGTACTCACGTATATATGAACGTGTGTGTCACTGAGCGATCGGATAAAAAAAAAGAAAAGAAAAAGAAATAAAAGAAACAGTAGTCAGCTAGCAGTCGGCAGTGAGCAGAAGTAGGCGTAGTTTGGTGCAATTGGGATTTATGACTCATAATTAAGATACACCCTAAGAAACAAAAAACCGACGGCTGTTTTGCAATCAAACAGCACAAAGTACACATGTTCAGACAGTGCCACATACAAACAAACAATACATAGATATGTGCTATATGTTTATATAAATGCATATATGTATGTAGGTTGTACGTATGTATGCAGATAGATATACATATGTATACCGTTTACATACGTACGTTTGTATGTTATTAGAGCACAGGCGCAGTGAAATATCAATAGTAATAAAAAACTCTCTATGCATAACATAACAAAAATGCACGACTAGAATAAACAATGTTCTCTTGCATCGGAATTAAACCTGTAACGAAATATAAATCGATTATTAATCGGCTTTTTCCTATATTCTGATACAGACAATCAATTAGCCACAATCAATCTATTTTTTCCAATACAAATCAATGTATATCAAAGTTTTGTGTTTTCTTCTGCAGATTCCAGGTGACCATAGGTTGTTGAAAATATTGCAAAATTGGACAAACCCTTTGCGACTTTGTACGACATAGAGAGGTCGTACCCACAAACAGTATTCGGAAGGAAAGCACCATCAGCGAAGATGGTACTACTTCCAGTACCACGCAACCTCAAAGGTAGGCTCCAAACATTGTCATACTTTCTAATCAAGTGCATATTTGATTATTAATAGTTAAATCGAGTAAGGTTAAATTAAAGTTTTAGCAAATTTATATATATTCATTGAGTTTTTTTTTACTTTGCAGAAATAACTCAGATATTTCTGGTGAGGAACAAACTGTGCAAGAAGCTAAAATCCAAAAACCGGGACAGTGTGCTTCTAATAAAACTGCCTCCCCAAGGAAAATCGTCAGTCCGACTTCTAGATTAAGGGGCACTGCACAGAGAAGCAGATATCGTCGAAAGCAAGAGTCGGCTCCTGTACACAATAGCAGCACCAACATTAGCACCAACAGCAACAGCAACAGCAACGCCAATATTAGCACTCAGCTTCAGTTACATCAAACAGCAGCACCAGCAGCATTGGAACCGAAATCCGCCTCGCCCGCATCACATAGTAAAACTAACGTTTGGAGCCGTTTACTGCGTCAGTTCTCAGGTAGCACTCTAACTGGAAGATCGGTTGGTAGCAACAATAGCTCGAGGGGACAAATCAACGTTGACGAGGCAACCATTATTAACTCTGATAAGGGTGAGGAGTCCGTGACAGTTAGCGTTGTGGGAGTTTCCCGGGAGGCAAAGGATACTGCCGTTGCGGAACATAATGAGGAAACAATGGATGGTGAATCCCAGCCATCAGATGCAGCCAATAGCCCAAGTTGTCAAAAGGCTCCTGTAGTGTCCGCGGATAACAGCAAAGACAAAGACATGCCAGCCAAGGCTGTTGTGTCCCCGTCCCCCGCTGCTGATGCCAAGCCGAAAAAGATGGAAGGCCGTAAATCGTCATCTGACACAGGCATAGAGCCGGGGCTGAAGCATCAGCTGACGGGCAGTGGCCCGCAATCGATGACTGGCCCACTCCCTTTCAAGGCGCCCCACGGCAAAGGAAATAAAACGGGCAAGGGAGCGGACAACTTTGTGCAGACAATACGTTTTGTGCGTAAAAATGTGGAGCAATCCAACAGAAATGCGAATCCGTTGCAGTTTGAGGAGCTGGAAACGGAATTCCCTCGTGATTACGATGACAACATTGAGATGTTGTCGCGGGAGGCGGAGCATTTGGAGGAGCAATTCCGTACGCCTACCCGTTCAAATACCACAGATGCGAGTAATCATCAAGTGGCTGGCATTATTGACAACATTATTACCGAGGCGTCCCGCAGCGTGAAAACCGAAAAGACTCAAGTTGAAGTGCCATCGAAACCTGCCAATAAACAGACAGCTGGTGGGAAGCGCGTAGGCTTCCATGTTGAGGAGAAGCGCGATGGCGAGTTGTTGCACGATGAAGCAAAGGTTGAGGACTTGTCCAAGCAGTCGGAACAAGGAGAAGGCATTTCTGGAGACACCACCGTTTCTGGTACAGAAACATCGGTGTCCCAGCAACCATCATCAGCACACGCCGCATCGGCTACCTCATCAGTCACATCTCTGACAAGGGAGCGCAAGAGTGATGAGGATGACGATCCTGTTGCGATGTCGCCATGTGGACGCTTCTTCAAATACGATAAAGAAGTCGGTCGTGGTTCCTTTAAAACTGTCTATCGCGGCCTGGACACTCTAACCGGAGTGCCGGTTGCCTGGTGCGAATTGTTGGTAATTTCATCAATGATATTGTGATAAATCAATATGTTTACGCCCATAGTAGTTGCATTGCTAACGCCTCTTTTATTTCAGGATAAACAAGTGAAGAAGAGTGAACGCACTAGATTCCGGGAAGAAGCGGATATGTTAAAGAAATTGCAGCATCCAAACATTGTGCGATTTTATACATATTGGGAATTTCCAGTTGGTCGGAAGAAAAACATAGTACTAGTCACCGAGCTAATGTTATCTGGTACTTTAAAGTCGTAAGTGGGCTGATGAATCACTTAAGCTATACAACATTATTGATTGAATTTGTTTGAAGGTATTTAAAACGATTCAAAAAAATACACCCAAAGGTATTGAAGTCATGGTGTCGTCAGATCCTAAAAGGTCTCAACTTCCTGCATACTCGTCAATTTCCTATAATTCATCGTGATTTGAAATGTGATAATATTTTTATAACTGGCACCACTGGTAGTGTTAAAATCGGTGACTTGGGACTGGCAACTTTAAAGAATCGGTCCCATGCTAAATCTGTGATTGGTACACCTGAATTTATGGCACCCGAGATGTACGAGGAGCACTATGATGAATCGGTTGATGTCTACGCCTTTGGCATGTGCATGTTGGAGATGGCCATATCCGAATATCCGTACAGCGAATGCAAAGGCCCCGCCCAGATATACAAGAAGGTGATATCCGGTATCAAACCAGCCGCACTCTCGAAAGTCGAAGATCCCAATGTGCGTGACATCATAGAGCGATGCATTGAGCTGAAAAAGGAGGATCGGCCCAGATGCAACGAGCTGCTGGAGTCCGAGTTCTTTGATGAGGATATTGGCATACGTGTGGAGCCCACCGCCTCAGAGCAGTTCCTCTCAGATCCTAGCATAAACATCATTGAGTTTCGTCTGCGATTCATGGATCCAAAGAAGCGTTCTTCTCGACACAAAGAGAACGAAGCCATTCAGTTTGAATACAACATTCTGCACGATGAGTACGAGCAAATTGCCCAGGACATGATGAAGGAGAACATCATATCGGAAGACGACTCGCGTGCAGTGGCTCGCCTCCTGAAAGTGCAAGTAGTTTCGCTGCTTAAAGAGCGTGCTCAGCGCCAAACACAAATCAAGCTACAGAACGAAAAGTCAAGACTGGAGAAACTGGCATTGCAAAAGCTCCGCGAAAGCTTGCCAACCAACGTCGAGGAGGAGGACGACGAGGATGATGAGTCTGAGGACGAAGAGGATGGCGTTAAATGGAATCAGCGACTCAAGCTCGAAATGCTAAATACAGACTCAGAGACTAGCTTGGTCACCTCCACAAACAGTACCGATCCACAGAATCTACTCACAAGATCGACCACTTCTATTCAAAATGGCGGAAATCAAATACAGCAACAGCAGCAGCAGCAGTTGCCACAGTCAATGCCAGGGCAACAGAAGGTGATCGCATCTCCAGCCATAGCGCAGGTGCAGCAACACTCAACGACAGTTCACTACATACAGAACCCTCAGATGGCTTCATATCAGAATGCGACCAACGCCATGCAGGACATTGCGAACGGCCATGGCCAGGTCATATCACCGACAGGCAACCAACAGCAGCAGCAACAACAACAGCAACAGCAAGCAGCTCAGCAGCCAGTGGTGCAATTGCAAGCCCCGCAACAGTCTGCACCGCCAGCACAAATGCTACCACAGCAAGTGCAGGTGCAACCAGTTGCAGTGGCCCACCCACAACAACAACAACAACAGCCTACCGCTGTTATGCAGCAGCAGCAACAGCAACACCTGACCGAGCAGCAAAAGGTACAGCAAATCCCATTACAGCAACAACTGCAGCAACTTATGCAAAATAATGTACCAGCAACTGATTTGGTGCAACAGCAGCAACAACAGCAATACTATCAACAGCAGCAGCAAGCACAGGCACAGGCAACACTTCCAATGCATCAAGTGCAAATTTCACAACAACAACAGCCATATGCGATGCAACATCCTCAACAACAGCAGCAGCAAATTCAGCAACAGCCAATGCAGCAGCAGATGCAACCACAACCAATTCAGGCGCAACTACCAACATCACAACAGCAAATGCAACAAGCGATGCCGCAGCAGCATCAATTGCCACAGCAACCCATTCCAACTCAACCAATACAACAGCAACAGCCCATTCAACAACAGCCCATACAACAACAGCAGCCCATCCAGCAGCAACCTATACAGCAACAGCCTATTCAACAACAACCCATACAGCAACAACCTATGCAACAACAACCCATTCAGCAGCAACCTATGCAACAACAACCTATGCCACAACAACCTATGCAGCAGCAACCAATGCAGCAACAACCCATTCAACAGCCAACAGCAACACAGCAACAGATTATACAGCAACATCACTTGCAGCAACTGCATCAACAGCAGCAGCAGCAGCAACAACAACAGCAACAGTTCGTGCAGCAACAACAACAGTTCCTTCCAAATGCATTATCGCAACCTCATCAAATTCCAATTTCAACAATGCAACCAGTTGTTGCTGGTGCTGCTCAAATTATGGGGCAACAGCAGCAGCCAACGGCCATACTAATGCAAGGACAGATGCAAGTGCCGCCAGTCATGCATCAGCAACCTCTTCCGACCTCATTTAATCAGCCACAGGCAACTCCGCAACAGCATCAGCAGCAGCCGCAGCAACAGCAGATTGTTCAACCAGTTGTCAATGTTGCTGATGTTCAGCAACAGCAAGCTCAACAACTAGTTGCCCAAATACAGCAGCAGCAGTTCCTACAAAATCAGCAACAACAGCAGCAGCAGCAGCAGGCATTACAGCAGCCATTGCAGCAGCAACAGCAGCCATTACAGCAACAGCAGCAGCCATTACAGCAGCAGCAGCAACAGCAGCCATTGCAGCAGCAGCAGCAGGCATTACAGCAGCAACAGCAGCCATTGCAGCAGCAACAGCAACCATTACAACATCAGATACCTCTAGAACAGCAACTGCAACAGCTGTTGCATAGTCAGCCACAAGCTCAAATAGTACATCAACCAGCACCACCACAGCAACAGCCACAGCAGCAACAACAACAACCGCAGCCTGAACAACAACCACAGCAACAGCAGCAGCTGGCAAATAAACCGATTACCCAGCAACCAGCACCTGCTGCACAGGAGCTGACACAGGTTGCTGCACCAACAAACTTTGATGCTGCAACAGCAAATGCGGAGCCTCAGCAAGCGGCAACAACTGCTGCAGATGCCGACAAGCAACAAAAGCAGCAGCAGCAGGCGGCCGCTGGAGCACGTGTGCAAAAGCCGCGTCGCTCCAATCGCAGTGGCAACGAACGCATACCAAAGCTAAGTGTGACCAGCGTGGACGAAGGCAGCGTCATCAATTGCCACATGGAGAACAAATTGAAGACTATAACATTCAAATTTGACATAGGCGATGTCAATCCCGTTGAGATTGCTAACAAACTGGTAAGAAATTACTCGGCAAATTGCGGAGCATTACATTTAAATACTTTGTCATTCGATATCGCAGATAGCACAAGACTTACTCTCGAATTGCCAGAGCACCGTATTCGTGGAAATGATAAACGATATTGTGGAGCAGGTTAAACAGAATCCAAATCAAATTCCTATACCAACCACTTATCGCCGCAACATTGAGAAGGTACTTTAACTGACAACTAATCCCAGACATATACCCATATATTTTCTGTCCCGATTTTAAACATTAAGAGAAAACAAAAGCGTTTCGTCTTGTGTTCGATTTATATGATCTAAAAAAAATTTAAAAGTTCCCCATATGAAGCTTTGCGGCCACGGAGTCTCTATTTGGAAAATTGATTTGAATGGAGAGTTACTGCTACAACCACTTAGTTGTTCGTAAAAGCAATGGAATAACGACTATCCTCTCGATATGGCTTCGTAATATGAACAGAATGTAGAGCGCGTTATCAAAAGAAACGAAAACTGTTAATGATTAATTTCAAATACGAGAGGACTCTCGAATCGAAACCGAAATCGAAATACATTTTTAACATGATGTTGATTGTATGTTGTAATCTCTACTACTTATAATAAAACAGGTCCGTCACGCGTCTCTAACTCGACAGCGTTCCACATTTAGAACACATCAAAGACATAGATCTGTAAGTGTTAAGTGCACTGTTAAGGGCTTATATTAATATATATGTATGTAATCTTATATATGTATATCCATATATATTTATGTACATATATACTTAGTTAAAAATAGGATTTATGATTTATCACAATTCAAACAACAATATGTTCGAGTATTTTACTATTGTTTAATGCTGTTATTTAAGTAAACTATTTTGTTTTAATATTTATTACAAAAATAAGCACGCAACAACAAAATATGTCGAAAAATTCTTGAAAAATATTTATGAAATTATGTACGAAATTAATAACATGTATTTATTATTTTTTATTTTATGGAAAATCCAATTTACGATAGGAAATTTAACTGTATAATTAAAGAAACTCCTTGGTCAATTGTATTTTTATCAGGACGAAATTTTCATGCTCCCCGTTTTTGAAATGTCTTTTTTGGTTTTATACAAATTTTTAATGCTTACGCGAAATTTACACGAATTTAGTTATAAATCAATATTTATATTTATAAATAAATAATTCATGCTTAACTTCGGCTTGTCGAAGTTTTAATATCCTTGCAGAAAGATGTTCTCTTAGTTACAGTACCAATCCAGTAATTCTTCCGTTTCCGTTAATATATTTGTATAAAATATTTGCATTAGTATATGATTAAATATAGTCAAATCTTCTGCATGGATATACATATAGGAAATTAGCTGAATAGCTGATTAGCTTAATTACTGTCAATGGCTTAAATGCATATAAATATATATGTATATATATTATTCAACGAAACAATTATTTTAGCGGGATGAAACCGCGAGCGACATCACAAAGATGTTCGAGCCATCGACCCAAAATGCGGAGGTTGCACCCAGTGGAGCTGCCGAAGGATCAAATATGGAACAATCTGGAGCTGGTGAGACGAGACCACGTGAAGCTTCTGGCCAAAGTAATATGGAAGTGCCAGCAAATACAGCCACGCCACCAACAACCACATCGACCATGTCCTCCTCCTCGACTGCTTCGCGCGATGCGGGCAACAATAGCAATGATGTGACAATTGGCTCCGGTTCCGTCTCACGCAAGACCAGCACCGCCTCGGAGTACACATCGCTGTCTATCGACTACATGCCGGACAATGCCATTACGCCAACAGGCAACGAGCCATTTCAGCCACTGGATGGTGGGCTGGATAAGCCGAATTCTGAGCAGAAGGCACGCAGCCTGGCCATAAGCCGCGTCCAAATGCTGTTGGAGTCAACGAGAAGTGAGGCGAAGCCGAGAAGCTTGAATTTGCCATTGAATCGTCAGTTGAAGATTGTGGAAGATTTGAAGCACACCCGCAGTCTGGATGACCTAAGCGAAGTGAACATCACATTTGAGATGCCGCCCAGCAAGGCGGCCAAGCAGGCCAACGAGCTGAATGCAGCCAATTCGGACAAGTCTAAAGAGAGTGGCGTCCAACTGGGTGCAATGCAGCCACCAGGTGCGGCCAACACGCTGGAACAGCTGAAAATCGAACTCGAGAACATAACACACGCGCATGCCTTCGCCTCCGCCGTGGTGGCCTCCATCAACAACAGACCCGGCACCTATCAAGCCTCGCCGAACATCGCCTCGATGAAGGCGCTGTCCTCCGCCCAGCAGCAGGCCCAGGCCGAGACAGTGGTTGGTAGTAAAACTCTTGCTTTGTGCTTACACGTTAATCGTAGAACTGCGTTATTCCATTTGGTTTATCTTTCTTTTTAATTTTGATATATTTTAATGCAAACCATATATGTATATGTATTGTGTAGATTTGCGTAATTGTTGTTCTTTTTCTGCATTATAATATTGCTTTTCGTTTTATTTTTCTTTTAATATTAATATTAATATTTGTATTTGTGTAAATCCCATTGTTGAAAATTGTATATAACTTAGCATAAACGCAAATTTAACTAATTTCTGTCAAAAAGCTTAGCAAAACTAAAATGCTTTGCTGATGGAGGGTATATAGAATTTAATTTAAATGTTACAAAATGAAGAATATTCAGTCAGTTTTTAAAACACAATGTCCTTGGATCCAGCAAGTGCTTAACGAAAATATTCAGATTCATTTTAAACGAAAAAAAAAAAAAAATTTCATCTATTTTCTTCAGTTTTGTTCCCCCAAATATTTCCTCGCATTTATTTAAAAATATTATTTATTTATACAAAGGAAAGCATTTGAGTCCATCTCAAATATGGAGTTTTTAGTCCGCACTGGTTAAGGGTATTCGCTTTGTTATCATATATATTACTTTATAGTACTTACTACATGTCCATCGGTTGAAGTAATATTTGTAGTTGTATTTGTTGTTCTTTATGATTTGATTTGTTTATTTATGTACTAACGCTTTTCGTTTTTGGTCAACTTTAACCGATTTTTGTGTGTTGTTGCGCTTGTTCGTACTTGGTTTTGGGCATTTATCATTAATTTGATTTTGATTTGCTTTTTTATTTGAATGTGTAGATCAACAAATCAAACAGCGTGGGAGGTGGCAGTTCGGCGGCCTCGTTTGGCCAGAATACACCCACCGCAGCGCTGAACTCGGCTCGTGGCTCGTCCGTGTACAACTCTCGACGCACGTCCATCGACAACAGCATGGGCTCTGATATGCAGCTGCCGGCACCGAACCTCAATGTTAACCATGAAGTTGCTGCTGCAACTAGCACTGAGAGCACAGCGAACGCTGAAACCGGCGGTGATAAGAAGTTGGCCAAACAGGAGAGTCTGGATAAGCTATCAAATACACTGACCGCGACCAACGATACGAGAAATCCAAGTAATGGAGCTCTCAATCAGAGCTCCATAGCGGATCTAGAGAAAAAATTGGCTGCATTACGCAATGCAGACAACACAGAGGAGGTAGAGGATATCAATTTATATATATATTTATTTATTCATTAAATTTGTTTATATGTTGCAGTCTAATGCTGCACCAGCTGTGCCAGCCACCAAGCCCGCAGAGGAACCTGCGGCTAGTGTGAACGCACGCAAGATATCCCGCTTTAGCGTTAGTCGCGTGCAGGAGCAAAAGACTTCGACAGAGGCAACGGAAGCTCTGCAGCATCAGCTGAAGATTGATCTGCAGGTCGCGGGCCTAGCTGCTGGCCAGGGTCACAACTATAACGCCAGTAACTCTGTGCAAAATGGCACCGCTGTCAATACGCCTACTGAGCTTATTAGTTCGCCCATTCAGAACGTTCCGATGGCCATAAATGGCATTCAGTTAATATATCAACAGCAGAACGCACCAGCAGGCGTTGGTGTGGGCGTATTGGTGCCTCAAGGAGGTCAAGTAGCTGCTGCGGCACAGCCAACAAATCTGCAAATGCAACAGCAACAGCAACAACAACAGCAGCAACAACAGATGTATTCAAATGTCCCACAGCGTCATCAGCAAATGCCGCAAATGGTGAACGCTGTGCAGCAGCAACAACAAATTCCACTGCAGCAACAACAGCCTCAGCAGCAGGCACAGCAGCCAAGTCAGCTTTTGGCACAGCAACAGCAACCAATACTACTGCAACAACAACAGCAGCAGCAAAAGCAGCAGGCTGCACAACAGTTTACGTTGCCAACATCACAGCCACAGCAGCAACAGACACATGCAGCACAGCAGTTTTTGCAGGCGCAAGCCAATCAAATGCATCAGCTACCGCCGTTGGTAATGACGATGCCAATGCAACAGCATCAGCTGGCAGGGATGCCGGGGGGCTTGCCAAATCAAATGTCTGCCTCGCATCAGCTGCTACAGCAGCAACAGCAACAGCAGCAGACATTGCAAATGCAGTCGCATTTGCAACAGCAGCCGCAGCAAGCTGTTACATCCATTTACAATCAGCAACAGCAGCCAAATTTCCAGGTGTCTGCTTCTGGTCAGCTGCTGCAACAGGCGCCGCTGGTAGGCCAGCCACAGCAGACAGCGCAACCAATGCAGCATGTGCTGCAGCCGTTATTTAACCCAGCTGTTGCTGAAGGTGAATTTACTATGAAAGCTTATTTTCTGTATCTCCGGTAATGCAACTTATCTTTTTATTTTATTGCAGTTGCAGAGGAGCCTGTGTCATTGGCCGCCACTCATCCTCACCTGTTGCCGAGCGATATTCAATCTGTAAGGGAATTCATTTGTTGTCGAATCAGCTTAACTACATAGTTTTTAATCCCTACAGGACATCAAACATAATCTAGACTCATTGGTGAATCAGTTGTGCAATACGCGTTTGGGCACAAATCAGCATCAGCGACTGTTGCTGCTGCGGCAACGACAGCTGATTGAGGAAGACGAGCTGCGTCTAAAGCACTATGTGGAATACGAAAAGTTTCAAAAGGCACTGCGCCAATGTAAGCAGTAAATTAAAAAAAAAAAAAAAAAAAAAAAAAATCAATCAGAATATATGTTTAAATGTAAATTTTTTCTCTTCAGCTCTAAGCACAAACGCTCCAGCAACTACCGCGTATTATTCACCAGCTGCTGCACCGGTTCAAACCAATTTGACAGCGCCAGCAGCAGCGGCACCGCCAACAGCATCGTCAACTACTACACCCGCAAGCTCTTCACAAACATAAATATGTAAATCCATTTTTTGAGTTGCCGTTGCCGTTCCTCGTATTCATGACAAGTCAAACAAAAAAATTGCTGCCCAATTGTTCGGCAACTGCTCTGAATTCTGGCTTTCTGGATTTCGATTTTTGGAAAATATGGATCTAGCGTTAGTTATTAAGTGAAAAGTTGTCGAATTATGAGGGGATTGTCTGTAAATATGTAGTCACACAGTTTTGAGTTGATTTGCCATTGTTTCGCTTATTGTTTTACTTTTGTTTTTGATTTTACCCTAGTTCCCATTCTTTATATATGCAATGCTGTTTCCTCTCATTTGTTTTCTTTTTTTAATCAAAATGAAGTTTTGAATTTTATTTAAGCAAATTGTAAATTTGATTAGCGCTAAAGTGTAAATAAATATTTCAATAATATCATATACACTCATACATCAATATACATAATTATTATTATTATATATATAAATACTATATATTTTAAACCATTCAGTGATTTATGTTTTGCGTAGTTACTAAATAAATAAACTTTTATTGAACTTAAATTGCGAATTCTGTTCTGCTGTTTATCGAAATGCTTTATTTATGGAACACGGATAGGACGGACGTCCTGTCATTGAGGGAAGCAAACAATGTCTTCACGATGCCTTTTTATTGTCTGAAAATAAAGGGAATGGTTGGACCCGAAATCCTGTCTTAAAAAACAACAATCTTTCGTCATACACACATGGAAATTATTTATTTGTATATAATAATATAATGCAAACTTAAACCGCTTTTAATAAGACACATCGGTAAACACAATTGAAGGATGGAAACAAATTAATGGAAAGCAATAATAACAACAAAAGTTTTAAGGGAATGGCATTCGAAACGCATTTTTATGCCTCGACATCCATGGTGTCTTTGATCTCGTTGCCCCATTCACGTGCCATGATCATAATTTCATTCATCGATAGCTTGGGGCCAATAAGAGGATTCATTTGTGTCAAATAACAGCACAACCAACTACATAAAAGATAAGAATTATTGGATTATTCATAATGAAAATATACACACACACATGCAAATATATTCACATGTATGTATGTCTAAGAAGTCTCATGGTCAATGAGTATAAACTTACAAAAGCCAGCAGGTAACGGCAGTTAGCATAATACAGCATTGTGTCACCCTGAAATGAAATATAAATGTATAACATTATTATTTTCGAATTATATATACTTATAATATCCATGTTGTAACTTACCCTCTGTTAGGGCCACGAGCGAAGAAGGGGCATATAATACCAATGAACGCCCAAATGACGGTGATAACAACTGGAGGAACGTAAGCATCAACCATTTTTGTACACTTTTATTAACTTAGTTTTAATACTGCAGGTCTGCCGAGCTCAGCAGGTTTATTAGTTGAACGGATAACACAAAATTATTAAAAAGTGATCGCGAAGAAGGCACTTTTTCAATCTTATGAATATCACATGACAGCCATGGGACAAAAACATATGTTACCAGGGCTACCAAATGTATGTCTAATAAATCTGGTTCATTTTAAAGACAAAGACCATATCGTCAATGTTCTCCAGATGACAGACAATCAAATCAGAATTCAGTAAAAGTTCACATATTTCAAACTGTTGACTAAGAAATATTTTTAAATTATTTTCTTTTTGGCATTTGGCAATGGGAAATAAACAATAAATTTAATGTACTTTTTGTTATTTACTAACAAAAATATATGAAATATCATAGGTGTCATAAGTTGTCAAATATCGATAATATTCGATTTATTCAAGAAACCAAACAACTCTGTGCAGTCAACTAGGTATTACAGTTCAGTGGCAAAGTGACAAGCAAAAATACAAAATGGTCCTAGAAAGTACTATGATATGGTAAATAAATGTTTTTAAATAAAGAAATGGTTGCACTGACTTCAATATAACTTCCCTATCATCTAGTTTCGACAACAGTGATTACCAACGCAACGGTGACTACTTCCCCACCCGTTTAAATGTACAGAAAGACGGCATCAATCTCGTCTGTCTAACCAAGCTGAGATCTAACCCCGAGAACAATGTTGGTCTGATGACCCTTTCAAAGTGCGCAGGGAGTTTCCTCATATACATATGTCTTTCTCTGAGTATATTATCATTTTCTTTATTTCCAGCACCGTTGAAGTGTTGGCTACACTAACCAGCGATGTGGGTCGTATATTCTCGAAGATGCATTTGATCCAGCCGAAAGGTGAAATAAATCTTCTAACTGGAATTCGCATTGCCCATTTGGTATTGAAGCATCGCCAAGGCAAAAATCATAAAATGCGCATCGTTGTTTTTGTTGGATCGCCAATCAACAACGAAGAAGGAGAACTCGTTAAGCAAGCCAAGCGTCTAAAGAAGGAAAAAGTAAACGTGGATATTGTTAGCTTTGGGGATCATGGAAACAATAATGAAATATTGACGGCTTTTATTAATGCTCTCAACGGCAAAGATGGAACTGGCTCCCATTTAGTTAGCGTGCCTAGAGGCTCAGCACTGTCCGATGCCTTATTGTCATCGCCCATCATACAAGGCGAGGATGGCATGGGTGCAGCTGGATTGGGCGGCGCCGTTTTCGAATTTGGTGTCGATCCCAACGAGGATCCAGAATTGGCTCTCGCATTGCGCGTCTCCATGGAGGAGCAGCGGCAACGTCAAGAAAGTGAGCAGCGACGTGCTGATAGCGCTGGGGGTGCTGAGGCTGCACCTCCCTCGATTGCAACTAGCGGAGAGAGTGGCACAGAGAGAGGCCCAGCCGTAACTCTTCCCAATTCCAACTCAGAGGAAGCCATGTTACAACGTGCATTGGCTTTGTCCACTGAAACACCAGAGGATAATTTGCCTGACTTCGCCAACATGACCGAAGAAGAGCAAATCGCTTTTGCCATGCAAATGTCCATGCAGGATGCAGCTGATGATACCGTGACCCAGCAAGCCAAACGTCCCAAAACAGAGGATGCTGCTGCCCCCATGGATGTTGATGAGGACTATTCAGAAGTGATTGGGGATCCAGCATTCTTGCAGAGCGTTCTTGAAAATCTCCCTGGAGTAGATCCCCAATCGGAGGCAGTGCGTGACGCTGTTGGCTCTCTCAATAAGGATAAAGACAAGAAGACCGATGGCAAGGATGAGCAAAAGAAATAAACTACAAGTATATATTTTTAAATTTGCATTAAAAAGAAATCATAAGTGAGCTGATATCTCTTAATATATTATGCAGATTATGTTCATGCTTCTAATAAAACACCATACACATATATAATCACAGGGAACATCGTTTTTTGTTATAGCAATTTCTACATACACCATTCTACAGCATACCCTCGCTGGCCAATAAAAACAACATTCGGTTTAGCGCTTTTTGTAGTAGGTTTCATATTATATTTTTCAATCTACATTTATAAGCAACATTAATAGTATTAAAGCGTGCCTGCTGTGCCGGATTTACTTGCCAGCCTTGTAGTCACGGATGTGGTAGAGCACCCAACCGGGAATGAACAAGGAGGCGACGCACATACCACCACCGAGAATCACTTTCTCCTGTAATTGATTAAAATCAATATAATATAATATTGATTGTAGGACTCCAAAATACTCTCGAATAGGTTTACGTAACCCATAAAAGAACTTTGAATTACTCACCGCTGTGGAGACGTGATTTGTTGGTGGTCCGGAGACGACGGATTGGCAGCGCCTTTGCATGGCTCCACGAATCGCAGGCACCAAAAGTTTAGCAGCACTATTTTGGAACATTTTTGATGTAAAAATTCTCTTTTTCCTTCGAAAACGATGCTGGTAATAAGTGCTCGATAGAGATGATAATACTACATCGATAGCAAGTGTATGGACGAGGTTAGTCAAAATCGATAGCTCCAAGAGTGCCCGTACTCAGCGATAAACATGAAAATACTAAACCTCATTTTATAAATTATACCAAAGAAGAAAACAAAAATGTTATGTCCTTTTTGAGACGGTTTAGCGGTTTATTAATTTTTAATTAACTTAATATTATAAATCATATTAGATATACTTAATATACATTCTGTAAAACTGTAACGGTTAAAATAAAGATTATTGAATAGAAAGTGGCACTGCTTAGATATATTGGGATAATAATTGATATTTTCATTCACTATTAAATTAATAGTATTAATTATAAATGTATACTGTTTGGTTTGTGAACAATTTCCTATATTGATTGTTAATATAGCTTTCGAATTCCATTGTAAATATGATTAATCGCATTGTTTTAAACAGATGAGATAATTTCCTAATTGTTCAGATAAGTAATTGATATTTTAAACTCATCCGTATAGATAACAGTAGGTTCATATATATTCGTTCTGATGCAACATAATTAGTTGACTTAAATATTCGAATTACTGCAACGATAACCTTTAGTCTTTAAATATAATTAAATATTATTTGATTACATTCTACTCTTTCACATCAATACACATTGGACATAAGTTTGAAGTTGCATTCACTTTATAGTTTATCATTTAGCATTCTCACTTAACAATTAGTTCAATAGTTAAGGCCAGATACTTTGGAGCCAGTTATTGGTTACATATTTTTTATTAATACATATATGGTTATTCATATCTACATACATCGACTTTTCTTTATAAGGCTAAGCGCTCCAATTTACACTTTATAGTGTCTGCTGAGTAAGGTCACGTATATAGATAATTGATTTAGATGATTTATATATTTCCATGTTATTTTCTTTTGAATCTTTGTTTAACTTGTTAATTGAAGAAATAAAACTGTATTGTTTGAGTTCTCTTTGTATGAAGTTAATGTTATTCGGAATGATAAATAATAGTAAACAATAATTTTTTCTTTTATTAATTTTAGCTTTGGAATATGTCAACTTAATTTGTTGTGTGGTTAATTTATTTTTTTTTTATGAAATTTTTTTTTTTTTGTTTATATATATATAACAGTTGATAACATAACATAAAATATCTTAATTATATATGTGGGTTTTTTTCTTTTTGCAAAGATCATTATAATCGAATAAATAAAAATAGAATATAGAATATGTTGAGATTACAAAGAATGTTTGCTGCATTATTCGAATTATGTGTAATATAATATATCTAATTAGGTAATAAGTAGTTCTCGTAACAATACAAACAATTGAATCGGTAGACAAAAACAGTAGTACATTTCCATTTCTTTTCTGTTTTGTTTTCCATATGTTTAAATACATGTTTTTATGTGCATGAGCATCTGAATATATTCCTGTGTGCGCATCTATCTTATTTTTAAGTAATCTTTAAAGGACAGTAAGTGGAAAACATCATAAAAAAACTCGCTTATTTTTTATGTTTACAATTCAGTCTGAAAGGCATAGTTGTGTATACACATTTTTATATCACCTATTTTGCATAATTAACTGTTTAATGTATCCTGCTTTTTGTTTTATTTTTAAAATATTTTTCTTTTTGTATTTTTGCGTTTTTCTTCTTTTTTAATGAGTGATTTACAATATTAATTGCTTAAATTTAGTTTTAACCGCATATTTTGGTTTTGTTTTTCATCTCTTTACAATTTAGTTGTTCTTTGCGTTTTGCGGAAATTTTTCTGTTGATTTCGTTGCATTAAGTTGGGCAAAAAATATATATATATTTATTCCGTATGTAAACAAAAATTTGGTACTTAAATGATCTCTTACTTCTAATTACACATTCGATTTTTTCATGCAGTAATATTTATATATAGATATATACATATATATATTTGTATACATACATATATATAGATATATATCTATATCAGCATTATATGGTTATGTTACTTTTGCTTCTCTTGTTATCTAACTTTTAGTTATGCATATGTTACTTATAGTTGCTCCGCTAATATATTATTATTTATTGTTCCTCACGAGAGAAAAGCTTATTCTTATTCTTCATCCGTGAAATCAGAGCTTTCGCTAACATCACTTGAAAGCAGTTCCATCCAATGATAATCGCGCCGATCTACATATTCCCAGAGATAAATCTACGAGAAACGGGAATTAAGAACAAATGTATACATGTATCTGCATTGTAAATCAGGAACCACAAAATAAATTTAAGAATTGTGCAAAAATAGATACTTATAATACGTATCTATATATATATATATATGTATAAATATAAATATTAGTTTGATTTACTTACATCGAGTAAATCCATTAGTTGATTTTGGCTATGCAATTTACGAGCTCGCTTCGGCAAACCAACATCCACAATATCACCGTTGGCTAGAGCGTGCTTATAGAAACACTTGTTGCCAAAAGGACATTTTCCTTCGCCTTTCTTGAAATATTTGCAATCCTTGGCACCGAGAGCCGCGCGATAATCATTAAGCAACTTGTCCTTTTCCTCCTTAGTTTCAACCCAATAAGCGCTGGGACAAACAAAGTCAGAACAGACACGACATTCGGGGCAAGCTCTGAAATGTAGAGTGCAATATAAGTATGTTTAAAAAAAAATAAATCGCTAGCATTTACTATGATGAAATATCTATATCTTACCGCGTAATTTTATGCTCAAATTGTTTCGCTTGTCGCCATGTACGGATGCACTCCAAGCAAAAGATATGATTACAGTTGGGCAGAATTCCAAAACGTTTCTCTCGACCAGCTTTTTCCATTATGGTATCGAAGCAGATGCCACACGTCTTATCCTTTGACTGGGCAATTGCAAATGATAATTCCATTGCCTGTTCGTGCTGCTGCAAACATTCACGTTTATGTTTCTTGCGTTGAGCTTGGTCCGTGGGATGCAGGCAATATTGGTCGCACATCTCGCATAGTTCCATATGTATGCGATAGGGACAATACTCGCCATAAGGACATGGGCTCTCGTATGGACAAATCTCCTCCAAAGAGTTCGGCTCACCATGCTTAAAGACAACGTCCATGTCATTCGTGGAAGGACCACCGACAATCTCCGCATATGAGATTCCACTTTGCACCACGGCACTGCTAGTAACCGAAGCCGCAGCTTCGTCTTCAAGATGATTGTCCTTTAGGCATTGGGATATGAAGCTTTTCTGGCCGGGCACAAAGATCGGCGCATTTGCCCAATTGCGTCGACTAGTGCTAGGGAATACATCAGCATCAGCATCCACATCCACATCCGCTTCGGCATCGGTGTTTGAATTTGTGTTGCGGGCACGCTGCTCACCTTCAGGTTGGCCTTGTGTTAAATCATGAGAGAAGCGACAAAGGTCACCGAATCGACAAATGCCTCGTAAATAATATCGGCATATCGCTTGGCTTCGTCCAGGCAAATTGTTTAAAACAGGAGCTTCTGCGACGCTGGCGGAACTCATTTTGCGCTTGCAAAAGTTTGTACAGATGATCTGACCAAACTAGACGTTCTGACCTGAAACGCTCACAAATTTGATTATATCCTCGATAAAGTCGACTTATCGATATACATAGGTACATGTGTGTTCAAGTGTCTACATATGTATGCATATATAGAGCAAACACAATTAATATGTCGCAATGACTCCTCTTTTTGCGTTTTACGAAACTTGATTTTTAATAGGTACAATATATATATATACATACATACATATATACATACATATGCATATATATATATATAAAGACAAGGCCCAAGAAATTTTATAAATATTTCAATACACAAACATATGTAAACGTTTTTTCTCTGGATATAAATATGTATATTTATAAATGTATATGTACATATTTAGATACGTATATGTATATGTACGTAAGTGTCTACTTCTGAATAAAAATGCACATGAAACTTTCTGCTCGATTTCGAATCAAGTACGACTATACTTTGGCAGCCTTGCGTACAATATTTGACTTTTAGCTATTATTGTAACTGTTACTAGGTTGATTAAATAAGAACACTTTATTTTCTTACGTTTTTTTTGTTTTTTGTTGCAAATTGATGCTCACAAAATTTTAACTAAGGATGGGGATAAAAAAAAGTGGAATATCGACAGAATCTGATAAATTAAATTCGATTGTTTTTTTTTTTTTTGCGATAGCGATGGATGCTTGACAATTTTTCAAAAGTATGTCTGACTAATTGTCAAATAAAATTATTTAGTTTGCTTTTATTGCAGTATGTATATATGTTTTCATTACAATTTACTTAAATTGAGAAAAATATAAATATCGTTGTCAAATGAGGTGTTTATCGATATTTAAGACTATTGTCAACTCCGAATCAGCTGATTGGACTAATTTTTATTTTGTTAACATGGAGCTACGAAATCTGATAAACAAAGCATTTTTGAATTAAAATGTCTAGTGAAAATAGGAAAAACTATGTTTGCGTCAGCTGTGGCAATCCGGCACGCGAATTGATTAAAAAATATAGTAATACTGTTAAGCCGACCCACTGTGTAAGTACGCTTCGCACTAACAATACGTATATTCTAACACTCATATGAATTTATTAGGATAAATGTAATCAGATAACTGATAAGTACATAGAAGTCGAAGAGTTCATAATCTTGATAGATGCTTTGCTTCTTGTTTCCGCCGCATTTCGACACATGATTTGCAATGGTAACTTTAAGGTAAAGTCGTCAATATTTTAAAGCAATATAATATAAATAAAATAACTTTTTTAGCTGTATTGGAAGATTTCACTCGTTGTCCTCTTATTGGAGTCATTTGCCTTATGCAGACAGAAGCGGGGAGATGGATCTAACACTGCACTACATGAAAAGGGCTTTTACATGTGCACACTGCATAACATTGGTGGTAAGGTATACAAATTTTGATATTTACTGAAATATGTTTACATATATCTACCATTTACAGAATACCTTTTTATAACGCTGCTGCTATTATTTATTACTGCTCTTCTCAATATGCGACAGCTGGCTAAAACTGGATTAGCATCTGTTACATTGATTATTTTAAAAGTAGTAGCCATTTCCAATTTCTCAAAGTTCTTCCTGCTACCCATATTGGTGTGGCGTAGTAATACAACAGATTTTGGACGGAATCTGCACTATATGTTGGTCACAGGGCATCATCTCTGCTCATTAATAATGGCTTACAATGTAGTTGGTATTAGCAATAGCCATCTTCGAGGGCTGACCATATTTTTGGTTATTTGTGCCTTTGCTACTAAAGAGTATGTTCGGTATTTGGCAGCATTTGAGATGGAATTATATTTATTGTAACAATAATAATTATAGACATAATGGTTAGATAATTAAATGACTTAAGTCTGTGTTGCATGAATTAAATATAATCAGTACTTGAAGCTATTCAGTATTTAAAAATTACCACTGGTCTCTCTTGATTAGTTTTATCGATTCTACAGCCCTGGTACTTGCACTAATCGGCCGAGCTCTGTCAATGTCGCATGCAGATTTGATGAGAATTCTAAAATGCTTATTTTGCTTATTTTCATTATGAAAAATTGAAAATAATTCTTGCGAAATCATTACTATTATCATAATATAAATAATTTCAATTTGGTAACAAATATCGCGAAGTAAATCAATATCTACGCATATTTTTAGGCACGTAATGTGTGTTCTAATGATCTAAAAAGAAAGCAAACGTGTTATTTAATAATGTAAGACGCAACACAACAAGTGAGTGCGTGTATTACAAAAACATGTCAAGTATATAAAGAAAAAAAGAACAGAAAGTGAAGTGCAGACAGTAAAATAAAATATTGGTAAGTCTATAGAACAAATAAAATGACCCACATACATACATAAAAATACATGTATATCAATATGTGTACATGGGACATTGCGTGTATTAACACACACATGTATGTTGGGCTACATTGTCGGCGCAAGTAAAATTGTTTCTTACTTATCGACGTAAATAATTTGTTTGTCACATTAAAAAAATCTAGTTTACTATCTATGTATGTTGCGTACTTAATAAATGAGAAACTTTGATTTAAAGTTGCATTATATATGAATATGACAGTTCATTTAAGCTTGCAATGTGGCCGGTTAAATATAGTATTTTTTTAAAATAATTTAGATATGTGAGACTTTCTATTTAAATGAAAAAGTATTCTATGCGTTGCAAAATTGAAGCAATTTCGTACAAATTGACTGTGATGCTTCTTAATTTGTACAACATTTGGAATCAAAACCATTCGCAAAATATTTATTTGATAAAGTTAATTTTTTTACATTTAATACTTTTTTTTGCATTTTCAAAATAAAATGCAAACATGCAATGTAGCCTATATGATATGCATTTTTTTAAAATATACAATTATGGTATTTTGCTTGTCATCTAGATTGGTCACACATAAAATATAACCTTAAAAATGGCAAGTGACAAATTTCTTTTTTGTTCATTTTAAGCGACTAAAACGTTATCGACGATAATAAAAGTCTATTGTCGGGAGTGCCTCCTGTATAAGCACTCTATCCGTTTTCGCTGTTATGATAAATATTGGATTCAACTTAAAGAGGGTCTGACGTTTCTGCTTTCACATATGCAACGATGTAAATATTATAAGCAAAAAGTGAAAATTACAAATCAACAGACCAACCGACCGACGACCGCATTGATACACACATATGTACATAATTGTACATACATTTATTAATATAACTCCGTAAGGCAAAGATCACGTAGAGCGTCAACTCAAATGTCAGCTACATCGGTTGTGTTTGCGAGTTTTGTTGTAAAACTCTGCACTAAGTACTCAAAGTCGCGAAGGACGGAGCTCAACATTAACAAGTGAATAGAGTGAAATAAACAAAAAATTGTGAATTTGGATAAGTACAGATCGGAACACATTTATATATATATATTTATATATATATAAGCAAGCGTGGAAAATGCATTCGTCGTCTGCGGCGTCGAGTGCGCTAGTGGAATATTCCGACGTTAGTTCGGAGGATTTTTCTGATCCTGAAACTGGAGAAATCGACTCGGATGCTGCATTAGCTGGCCGAGGAGCAGCAACATTAAACGCTTCCAATCGAAGACCGGAAAATCAGCTAAGAAAACAGAATTGTGATGCCGTTTTGCGCATTACCAGGAACAATGACTTCAGGTAATAATTAATAAGAAAATATGAATTTAGTTACAATCTGTTATTTTTTAGGAAAAGACGCAATGACGAGAGTGAGGATATGGGCTCGATTCTTGCAGTTGGTTCAAGATCACGACAAGTTTCAGTTGTTGCCAGTAGCGGTAGTAGGGTAAGCATCGGCTCTGTCCCCGAGAAACAGAATCATCATCATCGCAGCGAAGTCAGTCTGACGCCAGTCAAGAGCTCAAAGGAGGAACAATGGGATCGGGAGCTCTACATGTCTAGCGATACGATAGACACGGATGAGCTGGAGGCGGAAATGAAACGGCAGAAGCGTAAAAAACTGAAGAAGGACAAGCATAAGCACAAATCAAAAAAGAAGTCCAAGAAGCGCAAGAAGAAGCGAGCGAAGTCATACTCAAGCATAGATTCCCTATCGGACAGCAATCTCAATTCGTTGCTGGACAGGCATAGCCGATACACGCCGCCAACGGCGCCGAATCGAGCCAAAAGTGCCGAGCGTACAGTTAGCGCATCTGTGCCTTCGTACACTCCTCACAAAGACAGTCAAAGCAGTCCCATATCAGTGGGCACTCCGCCTGCCCGACGTCCCAATAGTAGTAATAACGCCTACTATGGCGAAGTAACCGCTGCTCCAAGCACTCCCTTAGGCAGCAGTCTGCAGGTGACGGTAATGAACAAAACCACAAACAGTCGACATCGATCCCCACAGATACGTTCCGGAGGTGGAGTTGGTGGCAGCAGTAGCAGCCAGCGTTATGCCACTTCTCCGCGCACTCCACCACAGTTGCTGAGCCACTCGCATCCATCCACTGGCGGTGGCGCTGGGGTTAGTGGCGGAAGCAGCGCACGTGACTCGCGCAACTCTCGTTATGTACAGAGTCCTTTGAAAGATGATCATAGATCAAGCAATGCGTATACATCTCGTTATTCAGGTGGTTCAGTTGGTGGACAGGTCAGCAGTCTCGATGCGAGAAAGTTGAAACGCATCTCACCAGGTAAGCGAATATAAGTGAAGGGCATGGTAATTTATGGTTTTCCTTTGATCGGAGAGACTACTAACTCAATTGATTTACAGAGCTGGATCGCTATCACCATCAACCAAGCACGCCACCGCATAAGCGACGAAAGTATGGCGATGGACGAGATGTATCTATGTCTTCGTCTATGGTCCCATATGAGCACGGCAGGCACCATTCTGTTAAATATGAACGATACAGCAGAGACCGATATTCGCGGAGGGTGTCCAGGTAGGCAATTGTGTACGCAATCTAATGCAGCATATGCTAATGAAGTATTATGATTAGGAGTCCTAGTGTTCATCGCCTGTCACGCAGTCGCCTCTCACCTGGCGGAGGAGGCAACGGATCGGGTAACAGTAGCATGTATCGTCAACGAAGTAATAGTCGCCATAATCACAGCAAATATGGCGCACCTCATTCGCCTTCGCCACCAATGCCGACGAGGACGTCTTCCAAGAGAGGCTCGGGTAGTGGCATGGGCATCTCCAATGATCGCTACTCCTCGCGTTCTCCACGACAAAGCTCGCGTTATTACGAGTCATCTCCACCGTCACCAGCGGGCGCCTCGGCCTCGACCTCACATCACCATCGACGATCGCCTAGGGGTCATCAGCATCATCGCAACAGCAGTCGCAAACGCTCTCCTAGCTCGGGAAGCAGTCGTAGCTCAGGGTCGTGCTCTCGTTCGCCAGCCTCGCGGGATCTTAAGTACAAGCGCGAGAAATATATCAAAAAGATAAGCGAGACTAGCTTGTTTGCTGAGCTGGTTAAGGATCGGCATAAGCGGGAAAAGGCTCTTAAAGAGATCATCGAGCGAAACGAAGAGAACAGCAACAGCAACGGTGCTTTGACTATCAACGAAAACAGTTCCTCGGTAGATGGGAATACGCCCAACGTTGCGGACAACCGATCAGCACCTTATATGGCAGTTCAATCCTCCGCTGGTGCAACGCCAAACGGAATTGCTGGCAGCGGTGGCAGTGGTGGTGCTAAGCCTGATTTGGACCTGAACAACATTCCAATGCCAAACAAAGATACGGAGGCATTAAAGTTGAATTCGACTGTTGGTACCGGAGATGTAACAGATGCCTCCCCAGCAATAGCCTCACTGACCTTTAAAATGAATGCCAATCAAAAACCGAAGAGTCTTACGGCCTTACCCATGCCACCTGGCATGACTGTAGCTGATTTAGAGAACGCGCCAACGCCATCTCCTCCAGATGTAGGCAAGCAAGCGACGCCGAAATCAACAAAGAAGTTTTCCCCAGACGACAAAAATCTAAACACCAGCCTTAATGCCAATGTAAATAAAAGCCTTTTGAACCTGCCAATGCCGCCCGTCATACCGGGCAGCGAGGAGTTAAGTGGCGACGATGATGTCATCGACAGTCCCGAGGACTTTGATACACCCAGTGGCAACAGCAACAGCTTAAATGTGAGTGCCAATGCAAATACATCACATACTGCCACCCGACGACGACCAGTGATACTTAATCGACGCGACTCGCGAAACAATGTCAGGGATTGGGGCGAACGATGTGTGGATGTGTTCGAAGTGATTGCACAGATTGGCGAGGGTACATACGGACAGGTAATATCGATAAACATTTCTTGAATGTTAGATAAATTTGATCGTATATTGATTTACGTTTCAGGTGTACAAAGCACGCGATCATCATACCAATGATATGGTAGCATTGAAAAAGGTGCGATTGGAACACGAAAAGGAAGGTTTTCCCATAACGGCTGTACGCGAAATAAAAATATTAAGACAACTTAATCATCGCAACATTGTGAACCTTCATGAAATCGTAACGGACAAACAGGACGCAGTTGAGTTTCGCAAGGACAAGGGTTCATTCTATCTGGTATTTGAGTATATGGACCACGATCTCATGGGCCTTCTAGAATCGGGCATGGTTGACTTTAATGAGGAGAACAATGCAAGCATTATGAAACAGCTTTTGGATGGCCTCAATTACTGTCACAAAAAGAATTTTCTACATCGAGATATCAAGTGTTCCAACATTTTAATGAACAATAAGTATGATTATAAATTTGACTTTTTTAATCTCTCTATTTAAAATTATAATTATTCGTATTTTAGGGGTAAAGTCAAGCTGGCAGACTTTGGATTGGCCCGTTTGTACAATGCTGAGGATCGTGAACGTCCGTATACGAACAAAGTAATAACACTCTGGTATCGACCGCCGGAGCTGCTGCTTGGCGAGGAACGTTATGGACCGTCAATAGACGTGTGGTCATGTGGCTGCATATTGGGCGAACTGTTCCTGAAGCGCCCACTATTTCAGGCAAATGCAGAAATGGCTCAACTAGAGACAATATCCAAAATATGTGGTTCACCGGTTCCCGCCGTTTGGCCAAATGTAATTAAGCTGCCACTCTTTCACACGCTTAAGCAAAAGAAGACGCATCGTCGACGTTTGCGTGAAGATTTTGAGTTTATGCCAACATCTGCGCTTGATCTGCTTGATAAAATGCTTGACTTAGATCCGGACAAACGCATTACTGCGGAAGATGCACTCAGATCACCTTGGCTGAAGAACATCAATCCCGATGAGTGAGTAATTTGTTATATATTGAGCACAGAATGAAATTATTTCAATTCGTAACTTAACAGAATGCCAACACCACAATTGCCTACATGGCAGGATTGTCATGAGCTTTGGAGCAAGAAGCGGCGTCGCCAGCTGCGCGAACAGCAAGAGTCGCTGCCACCAGGTGTCATTTGCTCAGCTAAGTATCAGCAGCACGGCGCTGCGATGGTAGGGGATGCCTAGCATTTACTCTATGCTTCATACTACAATGAAGAAGAGGAAGACTATAAACAGCGAGAGGAAGTGGAGTGTGCCTGGTGGCAAAGTTAATACCATCAAAAATTATAATCAATTATAAATAGTTGGCAGGGAGACTCGCAGGCAGTTCGGGTTGACATGCTCTACCAAAGCACTCTATTCTTTAAGTCGTCTCTTAAACAAAATAACTAATTTAAGACTATATTTAAATAGTGATGAATTGCTAAAAAAAAGAAAGAAAAAAAGAAATCAACAACAGAAAACAAAAGAGCATTTCGAATTGACCGGTGTGTAATATTGTAATATATATATATACTATATGCAATCAAATAACCCATTGCAAACTAAATTGTTTATAATTTTTCTAATGCTTAGTATAATATCTTAAATACATATTGGCAATAAACAATGAGCATGAGAAATAACACTATCAATCAATGTGTGTGTCAAGGTTTGTTTAGTTCACATTGACTTTTATTCTGTTATAAAATTTGACTATTTAAAAAATATTTTAGTTAACAAACAAATTGAAGAGCAACGCGAAGCTTTGAAGCAGTTAAAGGTTAGCATTGTAGCATTAAATAAATTGTTATATATATCTATCAATTTATATATATATATATATATATATATATATATATATATATATATATATATATATATACATACATATTATATACATAATTATATAACGCTATAAATAAGTTAGTAATAATAGTATTAATTAGTTTAAACAACATACTCATGTTGTCCATATAAAGCTATAAAAGATTATTTTGTTAGGTATTTAAATAAAATTGTAAAGTTAATGATGAATTTATCAAGTAATTGTGTACGAAAAATAACAACCAACAAAAATCACCCATACAGATATTTTAAAAAGCTTATATTTTTTAATACATAAACAAAGCCGGTTAAGAATAAATATATGTGTATAACAAATTAACTATAAAATAAAGAAAATCTGTGTGAGACTGAAGATAAATTGATCACAACAAATTTGTGCAATTTGAATTATGAAAATTTGTAAAAATCATAAGGTCGGAATTCCCAATAACACGCACCTTTCTCTCCAATAAAATCCAAATCAAATGGAAGAATTTGGTTTCCAAGTCATATTTAAACACAAACACAAATACATTGTTCTGTAAAGCCGTTAATACAATATAAATATACACAAAATGCATTATTTAAAACATTGCGTACGAAATCTATTTAAAATATAATAATTCGAGTTTTGTGTTTGATAAAGGTCAGAATTGAACGGGGGAAAAGTAATACTGTGGATTAATATGTACTATTTAATTAGTGCTAGAGTTCTGTATTTAAACGGTTAATGGGTCTAAATAAAGTTGCCTAATGTCTAAAAATTATTTATATTTTAAATATTATTTCAAGAGTAATTAAACAAGAGATTTGTATTCATTTTATATAATTTTTAGCTTAACAATATTTGCGATCTCTAAATCCCCTTTTAGCTATAATTTTAGTAATTTATTTTTTATCTGCAGAACTTCATCTGTTCCGTTTTTAGTCGTTGAAAAAAGATATTCGATGACAAATGTATAGTATGATCTAAATCTTATTAATATCGATAGCAAGTCAGTATGCCAATTGCAGCGTCTACTGCATAAATATGTCTTTGGTATTTCCCAACACTAGCAAATTGGCGTTCTTCTTTTTAAATGTGTTTGGCTTGTTATTGTTTATTTATGAGAATAAGAATAAAAAGTGAATGTAAATCAAAGTAAACTATGCTGCCATATCGAAATTTTGGAGAAACCATCGATGTAATTTAATGAACACATACAATTTGATGGTGCATAATGCAATTTTAATAAATATTTGTGTTTATAGGAATATGAAGTACAGCACCTGCTGGGTAAAGGAGGCTTCGCCTGTGTTTACAAGGCAAAATGCCTGCGTACCCATCAAAATGTGGCAATTAAAATGGTAAATGCATAATATAAACATCATGGCATAAAAATTTCTATTAATTTGTAATTAAATGTGGACAGATTGACAAGAAGCTCATACAGGGCTCAGGCTTATCGAATCGCGTTAGACAAGAAGTCGATATACATTCCAGGCTGAAGCATCCATCGGTGTTGCAGCTGTACACATTTTTCCAGGACGCCAACTATGTCTACTTAATCTTAGAACTGGCCGACAATGGTGAACTGCATCGCTACATGAACCAGCAAATGAAGCGTCCTTTCACTGAGGACGAAGCGTCGTCTATACTGCGGCAGGTTGTAGATGGTTTGCTGTACTTGCACTCGCACAACATCATGCATCGGGACATATCGCTTTCCAATTTACTGCTCAGCAAGGATATGCACGTAAAAATCGCCGACTTCGGTCTGGCAACCCAATTGAAGAGGCCCGACGAACGACACATGACCATGTGTGGTACTCCTAACTATATTTCCCCGGAAGTTGTGTCACACATGTCCCATGGTTTGCCCGCTGATCTCTGGAGCGTTGGCTGCATGCTTTACACGCTCTTGGTGGGACGTCCGCCATTCGACACAGACGCTGTACAGTCAACACTTAATAAAGTGGTACACTCCGACTATACAATGCCATCACATTTGTCCTATGAAGCACGCGATTTAATCGACAAGCTATTGAGAAAGAATCCGCATGAACGCATCTCCCTGGAGCAGGTGCTCAGGCATCCATTCATGTTAAAGGTAGGCGGCAGCACAATATCCTACACAACGCCAGGCTCATCAGTAGATTGTTATGGTCAAAGCATTGCCAGCGGCGATAGTGGCATTGTGACATTTGCGAGCAGTGAGTACAACAACGCAACAATTTAGAATCATTTTTAATAAATCTGACTATTCTTAGATGATTCAAAGAACTCTCAACGGCTACGCTCAGTGGAACAGCAATCCATGCCACAAATGCTTCCACAGATTCAGGAGGAGTTTGGCTACTACCAGGAAAATCAAAAACCGAAGTATGCAGCGTTTAGGCTAGGGTCGACAGAGGCGGTGGACAACTCGGATATGGACTGGCAGCGAATGGGGCCAAATACACAAAAGGGCAATTTCTTGGTGCACTCAACGCCATCGCTTGCTCCTGCACCTGTACCGGCAGACGTTAAAGCTAATAATGAGCACATATCCGTGCCACCATTAAACACGCTTCGATTGCAGCCAACGCGCTATAAGACCAAGAATGCCATCATGAGCATTGTGGCAAATGGCGAAGTAGTCATCGAATTTATAAAATGCAAAAGTAGAATGAATGAAGATCGAATTGTTGATATATGTCGCATTTCCAACGACGGGCGCCGGATAATAATCTATCAACCGGATCCTGGGCGGTAAGAAAGAGTAGAAAAAATGGAGAATCGAGTTTTAATATAATATTTACTCTCAGCGGATTGCCCATTAGAGAGAAGCCTTCGGAGCTGCACGCAAACGGCACGGATAATGCTTACACTTATGATAACTTGCCTAGCAAACACTGGAAGAAATACGTCTATGCAGCGCGGTTCGTGGGCTTGGTAAAGAGTAAAACTCCAAAGGTAACTTATTTTAGCAAATTGGCGAAATGTCATCTAATGGAGAACATGGCCGATTTCGAGATGAGCTTTTATTCTGGCGCAAAGCTGACCAAGTCTCCCAGTGAAGGTATTAAAGTGTATGATGCCAGCGGTGCACTGCTCTCAGATCACACAAGTAGCGAGGCGAAACGTTTGATTGAACATAGCAATGAATGCTTCGCCCACTGCCTAAGCATCTGCAATGCACTGGAGCTGGCACAAACAGGTAGCAATACTTGCTTTCCAGTCACAATTGGAAGGAGACCCATTGCAGAAGTGTTGCCCACACAACGCTCGGAAAGTCTGAGGGATACAACCAATTTTATGTACTCTACGCCAAAATCGCAGCAGGTAAATAAATATCAAATTCCAATTAGTCCTTGATTTAATATTATTCTCCGTTTGCAGGGCTCAATCAACTTCTCCATTAGCACCATCTCTTCGATGCGCAGTGATAATGATTTGATTGGATCTCAGATGTTAGCTGCTCAGCAAAATGTGCCCATAAAGCGATTAAATATCCAAGGCATTGGCACTGCCACTGAGGTAGATTTTGGTTTTTATGATACCTAAAGAAATTTTACTTTAATTTGTATCTCATTTCAGCTGTCCCATGGAGTTGTTCAAGTTCAATTCTATGATGGATCAGTTATTTCCGTTATACCAGAATCTCAGGGTGGAGGCATAACATATACGCAGCCTAATGGGGTATCCACCCACTTCCCCAACCATGACGACCTGCCATTGGCTGTCAGGGAGCGAGTCTCCCAGTTGCCCCAGGTGCAGATGAAGTTGAGGTGTGCTCCTTTACTAAATGGCAAAAAGTTTGACTGCAATGCGATAAACTCAAAGCCGACGACGTCGGCACCTTGGCACAATCGCATGCTAATCTAGATATAATCCCACCGTTTAAAATTTTTTTTGTTTAAGAGTAAAAGTAAAATTATTTTCTGTATTTTAAGATAGCTCACATGTTTTGTATGAATATATATTTTATAAATTTTACTTTGATAGCAGTTGATATAAATATTTTTATGAAAAATAATATAAATGCTTTGCTATTTTCAACTTCTGTCTGAGACGGAAACTTTTTATATAAAATACAATATAAAAAAAATTATTATTATTATATATTGAGCGTGAAATTATATATTAAAAAAATATACAAATAAATTTAATTTATTAAATTAAATAAAAAGTTGCATGTTGACTAGTTTAAAAACATCGTTTTTTAAACACTTAAATATCGATATACAAAAGAAATCGATACGATTTTAACATCACTAGTATTTTTTGTACATACACACAACTTCAGTGTTTTCGACAGTGCTGCACAGTTTGGTTTAAGTTTTGATTTATTTTATTTCTGAGCTTACGAGCTCAGTAATAAATGCGTGAAAAAAGTACAAAAGTTAAATATATAGCTCAAATGATTTACAAAACATAAAGCGCAATACAACCCCACTTATTTATTAGTGATTGGCATAACTCTTATGGCTTAGTTGCTCAGAGTCTGGCCCACAGCTTAAAAACTGGTTTTTGTTGACTTCGTTCGTGCGTACCAACACACCTTAATCCACATTCATTCAGCGAAATACACACATACGCGCCCAAATATATTACGTTTGTACACATGTAAACAAATTAACTGTAAACAACTGAAATTTCAAGCCCGCGCAATATCCTGCCAACAAAGCTGCTTGAATTGCTTTCGATTTAAAACTATTACTTGATTTAAAGAAACGGATATCTAAAGGAAACAAAATGCGTAAGTTTTACATCAAGATTAAACGTTCATGCATAGACTCAATGACCTAGTTTTTAAGAAGCGATGCAGTTCCATTTGCATGTGATTCTTAAACATGCAAAGCTGAA